GGCAAATCAGCACCCATAAACGCATTGTACACCCACGCTAAAGTTGCTCACGGCGATGCCCGAGATCCGGCGCACACCCTCTTGGATAGAACTACGCAGACCCCGAATATAAAGTCCACAGTTTAGGGATTTGGAGTTTATAAGGTTTATTCAGGGTTGAGGGCTTCCTTGTGAAAAGCCCAACAAAAGCTTGTAATTAAGCCCCAACAAACCCAAAACGGGCAGAAGGGAGCCTAGCTCCAGGAGCCCAATGTCTTGCTTCATGGGCAGGCGGGCAGGCACGCGTGGCCTCGGGTTTAGGGCTTTTGAAGATTTCTGGGCTCAGAATCTTCGGAAAACCAAAGATTTCGGGCTCAGGGTTGTATATAGGGGGGTAAGTTGAGTTGAGGGCAAAAAAGGCCCAAGGGTGTTGGGACTTAACTTACCTTGGGTTAGTAGGGAATGGAGGAATGGTGTACAATTAAATTATAACTACTTTAACTACCATTCTTCCATTCCCTCCTCACCAAAGGTACGTTAGGGGTTGGGGGGGAGGGGTCCAGGGTTAGCGCGAGGGAGGCATCTTGGAAGCTTCCTCGAAACGGAGGCTATTTGTGGAGTATGCAGGCTTGAGGCAGTTCGCAAAATTCTGAGGGCCCGGAGCTGCGCAACAGCAGGAACCGTATAAGGGCCTGAATCATTAGAGTAGGGTCTGGGGGCCCATGATACAATGTTTATCATAAGGAACCCCTAAATGATTAAGGCCGATATATTCTGAAAAGCATGGGGATGTGATAAAGGAGCTGGACTGGGCCTTCACAGACACATCAACATCTGCGCATAAAAAGGGACTAGAACTGCTGCAAATACTCCTGGGAACATGACCCCTAAATCCGAAACCCTAAACCCTCTAAACCCTAAACCGTATAGTTATATACGATAGGGACTTTCAAGCCATACTAGAATACTCACGCATTGAATGTACCCTGCACCCTGAGTCTCTGAAGCACTAAACCTCAATCCAGTAAATAGCAAAACAGCAGAGGCCCAAACAGCCCACGTGGGGTTTCTTGTTTTTTTGGCTGTGGGGGGGGGGGGGTATTACATGTATGTGCATATACCTATATATATATATATATATATATATATATATATACATATATATATATATATATATATATATATATTGTATGCACAGGCGTCCTGAAACTCATGATACAACTATTACTTTAGGATGCTATACAAGATTGAGAACGTCCCAAAAACCCAATCACGTGCGATGGGCTTGGCCCGCACTACAGTATGCCCTAACCGCTAAAAGCAAGCGGAGCCCGCAACAAAAGCTGGGTAGTTGTCAAAACTAGGGTCCCTTTTTGGATACCCTAAATATTAGGTGCCGTACTATATTAGGGACCAAAAAAGGACCATAATTTTGACAACCATTCAGCCCCTAAGCCGCGCCTCTGCACTCTTTGCCCCGCCTTGCCTCCCCAGGGTTGTCCTTCGAGAGCAGGGGCCGGATCGGAGTTCAAACATCGGGGCCTTAAAAAGCAGAAAAGGTTGTTGGGCGGGCCCATTATACTATACACTTTCAAAACACCCAAAATAGTACAGGTAATTATTGAGGCCTATATATTATAGGGATTTTACAAAAATGGTATCTACAATTCTGTGCCCTGTCCCTGTTTATGTATAGGGCTATAATTTCAGGATCTTCGTTGATGTTTGGGAGCTACCTGTAAAACTCCTATCATACACATCGGTTGAGGCCTTATAGGGTTTATAGGGCTTGGTGATGCCCTTTAAAAACCCTAAACCCTAGATTCCCTTGTTCTGTGTGGAAGATCCTAGCCGGGAGATCCTCCAGAAAACCTAGGCAGAGCAACCCCAAAACACCCCAAGCCCCCGGCAACCCTAAGCCAAAGCCCTGTATGACTAAAGTCCTAAGCCCTGCAATGCAACCCTGAAATCCTAAACTCCCAAACCCTAGAATCAACCAGGCTCAAAAACTAAAAGATCCCCAACCCCAAGCCCTAATGTAGGGGCCTCCATAACTAAACTAGGGTTTTGGGGTATATTGTAAAAGACTTATAATAGGGGAACCCCCCAAATAGTAGTGGTAGTCAGTAATTAGTTCGGCCCATGTAGTATACAGAGCGTAAACCGTAAACCGACCGAGCCCTGCAAGCCCCAGAAACCCCCAAACTTCCAAGTCGTAAGGATGCTACTCTTCTGGAAGTAGGGGGAGACCCCCCAATGGCCCTTTAATGGAGCCCTTATTGTCCTTAACAGTGGGCATGTAAAGGTATATTACAGGGTAGTTGCGGGTCTAAAGGGGGTAGGTTCGCTGAGGCTTCCTGTTCAGGTTCCTAATTTCGAGGTCCTGGTAGTAAGCAACGTCCCTCGTTCTGTGAAACTCCCGTCGTAATGTGAGCAGGCCCCAATGGTGGAACCAGCCATTTGTGGCATGTGGTGTTGAAACCTGAACGGTTTAGAGCAGCCATTTTTTTGTGAGCAGCCATGTTTTGTGGCGCTGTTTTTGTGGCATTGAAACCTGAACTTGGATTTAGAGAAGAAACCAAAACCATGCGTTGTATCCGCTGAAGCGGGCTGTCCTTACCTTGGGCTAGTAGGGAATGGAGGAATGGGGTACAATTATAACTACTATTACTACCATTCTTCCATTCCCTACTAACCAAAGGTAAAACTACCCCTATAGATCCCATTATAACGAACCCCTATAGATCCCTTTAAGAAGCCCTAGAGATCCCTTTAAGGAACCATTCTTCCATTCCCTACTAACCAATCGTAAGTCTCCTGGTCGGCGAACGCCTCCTGGAACATCTCGCCGGGGCGGCGCCATGCGCCGCGACGCAGCTTCGAGGCGATAAGCCAGTGTTTGGTGTAGGTTTTAGGTTTTATAGGGTTTAGGGTTTATAGGGTTTAGGGTTTATAGGGTTTCGGGTTTATAGGGTTTAGGGTTCGGGTTTATAGGGTTTAGGGTTTAGAAGGGTTTAAGGTAGAAGCCTCGCTTGGGGCGCGGCACCGGGCAGCCGACAAAAGAGGCCGTATAGTTAGAATAGGGAATAGGGTCTTGGGGTAAACTATACCAAAATCATAAGAAGGAACCCCCAAAATAGTATTGGTGCCTATTGCGGCCCCTAATTTACCGGGTCGTGATGCGCTTCGCTTCGCTTCAGCGGCACTTCAGTTCCATGAGACTGAATGAGCTCGTGCGCAGTGCCCCTGGGTGCAGCTGTATAGCTGAAGAATAACCCTTGAAGCCACCCTAACATAATTCCTTCTGATAACCCTCAGAGATGCCTCGAAAGTAACCTTCGTAGTAATTATAGAAGGCTTTTAGCAGCCCTCTTATGAATCTCAAGTCTCAGCTCAGGGCTTGCTCTTCAAGCCTTTAGATCACGACGGGCCGAGCGGGCGAACTATGTAATATAGAGGCCTTAACAATTCGAACAGGGTTCCCTTAGAGGGATCTCTGAAGGGGTCTTTAAGGATCTACAGTAGGGTTCTAGTCTATAGGGGCCTTCATAATTAGAATAGGGGTTTAGGGCCCACTATACTATAGATATAATAAGGAGCCCACAAAAGAGTAGTTAAGTATTAAGGCCCCCATATTAGTGCTGAAGATTGAGCACCCCGCCCCTTGAAAGGCTGAAGGGTTTGGGGGGTTTAGAGTCTAGAGGGCTGATAGGGCTCATAATTTTATGGGGTTTAAGGTTTAAGGCTTGTCGGGCTTAAAGGCTAACGGTTCGGGGCTTTAGCACGTTATGCTGTATCCTGAGAACCTATTACAACATGGATGCAAGGGCAACTCAAAGACAGCATCCTGCTTGCTGCAAAGAATAGGTCCGGTCCGGTCCTGCTGAAGTTCCGAAACAACGAGCGGTAGTTTGCGCGAATGTTTCTTGTGATTGCCAGTGATGCAACTCTTGTCGCTGCCGTAGATTTCTACCACTTATCCTCATAAGCCTCGTAACCGTCAGTGCTATCGCTATATGAACTCCTCACGACAAGCACACGCACAACGAAAATCACAGTCATGGTCGAACTTCTGTCGCAAGGACGACAACCACACCGCACAGTCGGAATCAGAACAATAATCACGTCCAGAAGCTAATGAGCACCACAGGACTAGACATTGAGAAAATATGTTTGCTTATGTATATAAACAAAAAGTATGTGTGTATATATATATATATACACACATACACTATACACCTAAGATAACTGGCTCTTGACTCTTGGACCAGATTCCAGAGGCAGCCCCCCCTTTTTAGCTCCATCGTGCCTCTTCTATTCGGGGCCAGCTGGGCCCGCATGACATCGAACACATGTGTGATGAATGCAGCATGATTTTCGGCTTCCCTGAACTCAGGATTTAGGGCTTGAGGGCCTGAGGGCTTCGGGCCTTAGGGCTTTGGGTTTAGGGTAGCTCTGAAGCCCTAGTCCCTGAGCCCTCAAGCCGAAAGCCCTCATGCAGCTCAAGCCTCGTACAGGACCCTGCAAGTCTGCAACCGTATGAACCACTCAGAACACCTTCCGAACCTCTTGTACTACCCTACAGCCCTTCTAAGAGGCTATGAACCGTTGGCTAAACCAACACTGAACCCGGAACTGTAAACCCGAACCCTAAACCCTAAACGGTACAGTAAGCCCCAAAAAGTTGGAAACCGGATTAACCACGATGAGTGCTGGGGCTGCTGGGATTCCGTATACTAAGGATTGAAGCTGATTGGGTTTCCAACTTTTGGGCTTCCACTGTAGGTCACTTGGGAGTTTCCGAAAATTAGGGGTACCTTATTTTGGGGCCTTCATAATAAGGGTCCTACTCTTTAGGGTACCAAAACAGGATCCCCTGTTTTTGGAAACTCCCACTTAAAGCCTATTGTACTTTAACCTACCAAACCCTACTTTTTTTGTCGGTTCTTATTATCAGCCCTAATATGGAATTTATAGGGAACCCACAAAAAAGTAGGTTTTGGTAGGTTAAGGTAGGTCACCTAAAGCCCCAGGAGGAGGCAGGCGCGGAGGGCTTGGCTCTGAAGTTGCGTCGCCAAGGGCAGCCAGGGCCGTGTCAGCGCACTCTTCTCCTGGGTCTTTTAGAGGTGCGGGTTTAGGGCTTAGGGTTTCGGGGTTGAGGAGTTTTGGGTTTAGGGGTTTAGGGTTTAGGGCTCAGGGTTTGGGGTTGAGGATTTTGGGGTTTAGGAGTTTTGTGTTTAGGGCTCAGGGTTTGGGGTTTAGGATTTCGGGGCTTAGGATTTGAGGGTTTAGGGTTTTGTGTTTAGGGCTTAGGGTTTGTTTCGGGATATATCGAGTGTCACTCTCGTCCTGGGTTTTCGTTAGTAGAAGTGCTTTCTAACGGGTTGCCGAAGGTCTACTATGCGAGCATAACAGGGTTTCTTACAGGGTTCACAACAATCTTCTGTGCTGGCATGTATAAGCACAGCGAGACTATACAGGAATACTTTAAAAATGCTACTTATCTGGGCCCTAAACCCACAAAAACCCTGCTAAACCCTGTCGAAACCCTAAACCCTGTGAGCCCTATAACCCCTGTGAACCCTCTGAACCCCATCAACCCTTTAACTATAAACCCTATAATAAGCCGAAAAAACAAAACACTCAAACAACCTATAAACCCTAAGCCCTCCGACACAATGAACCCTATAAGCCCTAAACCCCAAACCCAATTAAACCCTAAACCCTTTAAAACTTTTAAAGGAACCCCTGAAAGAAATCCTTTAAGGGACCCTATAAAACCCTATAAATTCCTTTTAAAGGCATCCTTAAAGGATGCTTTTTGGGTCCCTTTAAACCCTATAAACCTTTTGAAGGCATCTTAAGGGTTCATGTAAGGGTCCCTTTAAAGGCTCGACTGAGGCTCGCAGGCTTCCATGGCCGCTTGGTAGGTCACCGCATTGCTTTGGACGCCGGCCGTCGCCGCACCTCCGGGCTTATAGGGTTTAGGGGTTATAGGGTTTAGGGTTCAGAGTTTTGGGGTTTAGGGTTTTTTGTTTGAGTTTTGGGTTTAGGGGCTCTAGGGTATCGGGTTTGTAGGGTTGAGGGTTGAGGGTTTTGGGGTTTGGTGTTTTTTGTTGGGTTTAGGGTTTAGAGCTTAGGGGTTTAGGGTGTAGGGGTGTAGGGGTTTAGGGTTTAAGGCTCAAGGCGCAGGGATGGGGTTCTAGGGGGTCTTGAAGAGTTCTAAAGTTTCTAAAGTGTTCTTACAGCTTTGTTTATAATGCTTTAGAGCTTGAATTGTGGGGGTTCAGGGTAGGGTAGAGGAGCCACAAACCCAAAAGCCATAATCGGAGGCCTCAACAGGTAGGACTCCGATGTGGGAATATCCCACCTACCTTCATCCCACCTTTTGAGGCCTCCGACATAAGGCCTATTAAAAGATATAACGCTTCGCAGCTGGGATGTTGGGGAGTCGTTGCAGGCATCTGCTGGATCCCGGAATACGTCACACATGCCTTTAGAGTGCAGGGTTGAAAGTTGAAGTGTTTAGGATTTAGGGTTTCGAGATTTCGGAGAGTCTTTAAGACTTTAAGGCTAATAGCTTCGAAGTCCACACTGCAGCCCAGGTGCAGTCCAGGAGCATCAGCGCCATCCTGCACCAAAGAAGATACATCACTGTTGATTATACAAATACTGCATCACCCATAATAAGGAATATACCATAATTCGCGTAGTTTAGAGACATTAAGGTAATGCAGGATTTATACCATCAACCGTAGTATCGTGTCTATTCGGGTTAGGGCCGGGGCATGTGCGCCGAAATTGGCGGATGCGAGTGCTCTTGAGCTTACGATGGAGATGGAAGGTCAACCACAAATCCTCTTACTTCCCTCAGTGTTCGGGCTTACATGCTACCATCCCTGAAACAGATCATACAATCAGAACATCAGGAATCATATGTAGTTTAACCTATGATCTAAAAGTTCCGGGATCCGCAGAGTCAGAGCCCCTCGAGGTGTGGCACTCCTAACTCGGCGTGAGTTTAACAAACTCTCAGATGTGGCATGGATTCTAACGAACAGCATCTACCCATAGTCTCCATTGTTGTTCCTTTTTTTGGTTTAACCATTTTGTACTAAGGGTGCTAACAGGTAACCCCAAAAAGGAACTACAATAGAGACTATAGGTAGAATCAAGAGTCTGCAAATCCGAAACCCCCCCCCTTCGTGACAAGGAAGTGCTTCTGACGAGCACACATGAATGGCAATGACTGCAGTGCAGGTAGAGAGCCTGAATATGCATGCACGAGAATCTAGTCACTAGAAATACCGGAAGAGCAGTCGTGACCTTAGCTACGTATTGCAGTGGTCGTAGAGGACACAGCACCTGCCACTACTACTGCCACCACGACCACACGCTACCTGGTTTTGCTGCTGTCGCGACTGTTGTGGTGGTAGTAGCCGTCCCCATCAGAAGACTGATGCTAACTTAATTTTGCCGATAAGACAAGATTCGAACTACGCGCTGCAAATCAATAATTCCCCAGCAACACGCTCTAAGCACTGGAAAAACACTGCAAATACTACACCTTGCAGAACACCCAACAAGCTCCGGCAAACGCGCGAATGAAGCCTTTGGTACATATTCAAAATATTCAACCCTCATGAAACCCTCCGAACCTATAACACCCCGAAAAGCTCTACGGTTTCCCATCTATACCCTTTTAAAAAATCCTTCAAACTCCGTGCAAAGGCCGCGAAATCCCCGCCCCGTCGCCTCCAAGCCGAACTCCGACACGCGGCCACAGCCGCGGTGTAGGAGACCACGGAAGGCTCCAAGCCCTGATGGCGTGTAGGTTCGGGGTTTTGGAGTTTAGTGGTTCCTTTAATGGGTCTAGGGTTACTATAAGGGATCCATAAGGGATCTATTGGGGTTTCGGGGTTTAGGGTTTAGGGAACCCCTGGAACTATAATGATTAGGCTTCCTTTCAAAGGGGTCTAAAAGGGTTTCTATTAGGGATCTATAAGGGTGCTATTATAATGTAGGAACCTGATTAAGAAACCCTGGGCCTATAACCCCGAAATAGTAGGATTCATGCAAGGAACCCCAATAAAGGCCCAAGGACTTAGAGACCATGCGCGGCATCATGTTAATGTAGGAACCTGATTAACAAACCTTGGGCCTGTTTTAGGGTTCCTTATTTGAATCCTACTCTTTTGGGGTTGTAGGCCCAGGCTTTCTTAATCAGGTTCCTACATTAATAATTAGGTTTGGGGATTTTGATTTAGCGGTTTGGGGTTTAGGGGTGAAGGGTTTTTGGAGTTCAGGGGTTAAGGGTTTTACTTGAAGGCTCATGGGACTTAGTAAGTAAGGTTATAAGTAGGTTATAATTAGGATAACCCCACTTAAGGGACGTATAACCTCAATGATAACCTACTTACTAAGTCCCATGATCCTCTAAGTAGGGTTCAGGGTTCATAAGGTCTAGGGGTTTAGGGGATTTGCTGTTCAGGGCTAAGGGCATACAGGGCTTAGGAGTGTAAGGGTTTAGGGTTTGTCGGGTTTGGGGCTTAAGGGCCTTGAGACAAAGGACGTAATCGACACAAGAATGACAAGAAGAGCATTACGAAGAATAAGAAGAGGAAGAATAACACCGGTAATGAAAAACTACAACAGTAGTACTAACAATAACAAGAGCAGTCGTAGTAAACTTACAGATCATATCTGCAATACCAAGGGCAAGTAAACACAACTGTCTAGATTTCGGGGTTTCGGGTTTAAGCGTTTGGGGTCTGTGGGCGTGAGGTTGTTGATTTGCTTAAACGCCATGCTGTCCGCAGGTAGGTGACAGGCAGTCTGGAGCGGCTACTTGAAGGTTCATGGGTAGTTATATCTGGGATCACAAGTAGGGTAGATGATAACCCCACATAGAAATACCCATGAACCTCCAAGTAGGGTGTGGGGTTCAGGATTTGGGGCTCGAGGTCATGGTTTCTGGAGGACGGACTTGGGCTTGAGCCTCAGTTTCTCCTGAGGGTCGTAGGAGTGCGGGGTTTATGGGGTTTAGGGCTTTGGGGTTTAGGCTTAGGGTTTTAGATTCGATTTTTTGGGGTACGGACGAGGTCTTGAGTGATGGACTGTCGTAGAGGATTTCTCCTCAGCAGCGCCTACCCTGCAACGTTAAATCCCACAGCTGAATCTCAAAACACTGCTGTACCTACAAACACCACTACTTGAAGGCTCATGGGACTTAGTCAGTAAGGTTATAAGTAGGTTATGATTAGGATAACCCCACTTAAGGGACTTACAACCCCAATTATAACCTACTTACTAAGTCCCATGATCCTCCAAGTAGACCCCTATTGAACCCTAAACTTGCCCTGAACGACACGAAAGCTTAGAAGACCTATAGCCCACATCCCACTTCTCGAACCCCGATGAAAGTACCTCTTGAAGGAGCCGTCAAAAAGAAAAAATAGAACGCCGATGGTCGCTTCAAGACTTACCTGCACCCTAGGAAACCTACAGTACCGTTTTAGGGTTCCTGAATATATTTTCCTCATATAAGTCCTTATCAAGGTAGGTTATTTGGTGTCAAGACTTAGCTTCGAAGACCTCACTTCTCGCCTCGGCGCTCAGCCTCTCGATGAGAAGGAGAGCCGTTTCCCATGTGCCACCAGCATCGCAGGCGCTGAGAGCCTTGGTACTCAGGCCCGAAACCCTCAAATCCTCAACCCTACCGTCAGTGTTGCGGTTCAGGGCGCAAATTTTCAGAGGTTTAAGGTCGGGGGGCTTTGGACGTAGAGTTGGGAGCTTTTTGACCGGGAGTAGGGTTTTGTGTGGGGTCTGGTGTCTGGGGTTGGGGTTGAAGGCCGGACCTAGCGAAGGAAAACAAAATAAGACTGCCTGCGTGTGGATTCTTCTCTAGTCTTCCCCGTGAATACTAAGGCGGGGAGGGGGATTACCAGGGTCTCGGGTGCTTTTCTAGACTATAAACATGCAAGGGAACCCTGGGTACCAATATTGCGGGCCAAGAAGACTTTGGGAGCAGCCAGTCACAACACACAACAATACAAGAATCGCAGCAATAGTACCTGCACACTCAAAGAAGGAGTCAAAGGCCTGCGTTGGTGCCGGGATGCTGAATTGTACGCCATCAAATCGACCTCCACTCTCCTGCAGGATTTCTGGATGTACTTGGAGGATCGTGGGACTTAGTAAGTAGGTTATAATTGGGGTTATAAGTCCCCTAAGTGGGGGTTATCCTAGTTATAACCTACTTATAACCTTACGTACTAAGTCCCATGAGCCTTCAAGTACCAGTAGGATTGGAACTTAGGGTACCTAGAGGCTCATACCCTGCCCCGTTTTTAGGGCGCCTACTTCTTAAGATAACAGATCCTAACCATAAAACTAGGTATCCTAAAAAAGGGGTAGGGTATGAGCCTCTAGGTACCGGGTCGAGGAACTTAAAGCCTGGAGTCGAGGGTCGGGCTTCAGGATTCAGGGCACTGGTCCGAAAATGTGGAGCATTTATAGTAAACCCCATAAAGTTGGAAACCGGATTAAGGTCAAATGGTGCTGGGATTCCCTATACATTACTCTTAAGACTCTTAAGGATTGAGGCTATTGGGTTTCCAACTTTTTGGCTTCTACTGTAGGGTGTGCGGCTGTTTTGGGGCGATGTGAGCAGGAATGATGCCTTCGGCTTGCAAAACCCTAGCAAAGGAAAACCCCTGCCCTCAAGGACAAAACCTTAAACTACCAAATCCGAAACCCCGCAGCCGGAAACCAACAACCCTATGTTCCGTTAACCCTTCGAATAGTAAGCCCTAAAGAAACCCTTGCGAAGGTCCGACGCAGGATCCCCTCGAAAAGGTGGAGCACTCGTCGCCAGGTCAGCGCACCACAACCTTTTGGTCCCAAGCTCAGGCGTAAGAGCTTTCGGTTCTGCAAGGGGTTAATACAAGACTCATTATCAGGCTTACTAGAAAGTCTAGTCTAGGTCTATAAGTAGGGTGTCCAAAACGAAGAATCTTACTACGAAGGCTTACCAAACGGGATTCCATCATAAGGGGACAAGACTGGCTTTCCTCAGGGTTCGGGTAAGGATTGGGGTTTGGGGGCTTCTTGGGTTTAGGGTTTAGGAAATAGCTTCGGGTTTAAAGCCTGGGGATGCGATGATGGGCTGAGCGCCTTAATCCCGGATCTTAAACCTTGAAGCCTTCTTCTTTCAAGGTTCCGAAGCTAAGTTGGTTGCAGAGCCTAACCTGATGACCACCTGCCGAGCAAAGTCCTTCTCATGGGAACTGGAAACAGGGTCCGAGTTTAACCGAACACCTCACGGCCACAAGGGTTCCAGCAAGCTTCATGATCATACCATAGGGGCGAAGAAAATCTGAACAGGGCTTCGGGAGACGTTATCATGCAATTGTAGCAGAGGCGCTGATACTCCCAAACCCGAAACCACTAAGGGCTGAAGCCTTTGCATGCGTCCGTGGGGCAAGCACTCAGAACTGCATCGTAGGATATCCGGTCCTTGGAAGCGCACATAGGGCTTCTGCGAGGCTGGCATGGTTGGACTGGCGGCATCCTCATTCATAGGTGACGCAAAAGCCACTGCGACACGCTGACTCTGCACCGTGAACGCCGATGAAACAAAGGAAACCCCAAAGCCTCAAGAACTCCGAAACCCGCCTAAACCCTAAACCCTGAACCCCTAAACCTTCTCGGCCGAGCACAGGAAGGAGTGCCTTGCTCGCCAGCTGCGAGAGGAGCTTCAGCGTTGGCTGCCTTAACTTCGCAGCGGTTAGGAATTTAGGGGTTTAGGATTTTAGGGTTTCGTGCTTCAAGGTCACAAAAAGGGCTCTTAGAGGGCTGCATAACGCTTCTAATTATAGCTGGGACTTTAGGTTGCTTTCTGGCTATAGGCCCGGGTTAGAGTTTAAGGAGTAAGGGCTCTGTGATGGCTTGTTGGGGCTTCCATGAGCTTTATGGTAGTTCGGGATCCTCGGGCGCGGATACGGTTTAGGGCTTTTGTGCATCTGGCATGGTTGGGCTAAGAAATCAAATGATGTGCACATTGTCCAAACTTTCTGCTTAATTGATGTGTTTGCCTATCCATTTATGCTCCCACACAATACCTGCATCATCTAGAACCCTTATAAGCCCCAGGAAACAGCGTAGAAACATCCCGGGAATTATCCAAATTCGAAGAACTCCCACAGCTACTGCCGAGGCGTTCGCCACTGCTGGCGCTTCTCGCAAGCGGCGAGGGCTGCGTTGTAGGCGATCCTAGGAGAAGAGCTCCGAAGCTTAATTTTAGAGCTTTCTTAAGGTTTAGGCTTTATAAGGGTTTAGGGTGGGCTCCTAAGCTTTATTTAAGGCTTTCACAAGGTTTAGGCTGTATAAGAGTTTAAGGTTGGTTTATCAGAGTCGCCATGGATTCTACAGACTTTACAAACAAGGCTTACAGAGGTGGGGGTTGATGTCCCAATGTTTTCTTACGGTCCAGGCCGATTTCCGAAGAGATGAAGCCCTGCTAGTACCACATAATGAGGAATATATGGGAGTTTCCGGAAATAGGGGACCCTAATATAGTACCCTAAATAGTAAAACAAGGTACCCTTGTTTTCGGAAACCCCCATACGACCCGGCCCCTAGATCTTCCCTTCTCTGCCTTGCACCCCAAGTACTTCGGGATGCTTTCAGGGGTCCCGGGTGCATCTGCGAGAACGTCCCTTCTACTACTACTGCTGATACTATATACTACTGTTAGAAAGCCAGAATCCGCCGAGCATCAAGCTGACCTCGAAGTGGCCAGCAAGCAAGGTGCTGAAGACCACTCCTGCCTGCGGCACATCTTGGGTTTTTAGGGGGTTAGGGGTTGGGGGTTTAGGGGTTTTCAGGGTTTTAAGGCTTATTGGTTTAGGGTTTCGGGTTTAGGGGTTTAGGGTTTCGGGCTTAGGATTCAGGGTTTTGGGCGTCCACAAGGGTTCCAGTTGGGTTACTAATTAGAGTGTTGACGTGAAGGGTTCTATCAGGGTTGCTGTACGGGTTACTTCACGGGTTCTATGAGGGTTACCGCAAAGCTAGTTCAACACCTATGAACGCCACCTCACATCGACATCAACTACCACCACCACCGCCACCATCACTATCACCAGAACAAACGGAACACTGCTAAGCTGCCAAACCCAAAACCCTCAAGCTCCCCGGCCCTTGTCCTGCTGCCATTGCTTGCCCTTGCCACAGGCACTGGTCATGGCCGAGTAGGTCACTTCCTAGTTCGGGGTGGCTCCGGGCTGCGGTTTTGAGATCTAGGTCCTCTTGGTGTTGGGTTTGGGGCGTGGGGTTTAGGGCTCCAGGGGGTGGTGGCCGTCGTGATGGATGTGTTCTGTTGCATCGACGTTGGGGCGTCGGCTGAGGGTTTACGGCTTATAGGGTTTGGAGTCTGTGGTTTCGCGTGCAGGATTCGGCCGGCAATTCCAAAGGCCCCTAGACTGCATGCCCAACCTGCAGCAAGTCGACATATCGGCGAAAAACTCCAAAGACAGTGCATCGACAATCCGGCACCCTGAGACATTCGCGGGGAGGTCGTGATTTCATGCAGCGTTCGCCCAATTGTGTGTACTGCAACATACCAGCCAGGTGAGACAAGATTATCGAAACGCCGGAAACAATCAACACTCGCGTCACCCTCGACGTCGACGACATCATCATCGTATCATCACGATCGTCGCAATTACCATCTCCGTCATGACCACAATCTATTGGTAGCGTTTGTCTGCGGGTTTCCATTAACAGGAGGCGGCTTCAAGAGCCCTAAACTCTAAACTGCAGACTTTCCTGTGGAGGAGTCAAGGACCACATCCCAAAACATCCACGCCCACGAGAACATGGCCATTCTACATTACGCAAACCCAGCAAATTCCCTACATGTAGTTGAGCTCAATCACTCGCCCGTTTTTTCCACGGAATTCATTCACCTAAACCCTAAACCCCACAAAACCCTAAACCCTTATAAACCCTCGAATTCATTCGCCAGGCCCCCGACGTTGGGCTCCAGCCCATCTTCGCGAAGCCGCGCCAGGAGGAGTTGTGCCTCCGCGGCTTTGGATTCCTTAAAGGGCCCCGCATGAAACCCAACTGTAGTAACACTATAATTTGGTACCCTTTCAGGGTGCATGAGGTTTATGTACTATCTTGCAAGCGTCTTAGAGGGTTTTTATGGGGCTTAGCAAAGGGAGTTTACGAGATTAAGAGCTTAAGTTCAAGGTCTGGCAGGGTGTAGAGTTTTACGTTTAAGGCTTTTTGGATTTAGGGCGTGGGGTTTAGTGTCAGGATTCAAGCAAGTAGGGTTGAAGTTTGGAGTTTAGGTCAAGCGGAGAGGAGGAGACCCACCATGTAATGATTTATCGTCAAGCGCGGCGTTCTCGTCATGTCGCTTGCTGCTTGTTTACTGACTGCCCCTTGGAAACCCTGAACAAAGCACAGCTGCCAATCAGAACAGCTGGCAATTACATAGTCAGAACTCCCAAACCCCTCAACTACAAAACCAATGTCTCGGCTTTGTCCCATAGCCCCCAAAACCCAACGGAATCGCGGGGCCGCGACCCCATGCTTGTAGAAACCAATAGGATACCTGACCCACAGTCACAGGTAGGGGTTGGGAACCCTCTCCCCCTTCTGCAGGGGCCTAAACAATTGCCAATACTTGTTTTTTGTTTTTTTTTGGGGGGGCTCCTTACTATAATTTAGAAAAGTGGGCCCCCAAAATCCTACTCCAATTATTTAGGCCCCTAAGACTGCTCAGTAGGCTCCACCACCCTTTAGGCCCACCGGCCCTGAAACCCTAAATCGCGATCCCCTCCCGACAGCAAAGGCAGCAGCGAGAAAACCAGAACCAAAGGCAGAGGAGCGAACCGACAACGACATAAGCGAGAAGCCAACGAAAACCGGAAGAAGGGCGAACTAAAAATCATGGTGTTTGTTCATACCTGTAGTGATACCAGCAAAAATACATGTAATACTAACGGTAACACTAACATTAGTAGCAAAAACTGCATATTCAGTATAACGATAAAGAAAACTGACAATGATGACTGATGATGTTAGCAGTAACAATACGCGCATGCAATAACCACAAGCAGTGACACGTGGTTTAAATTCTACGCTTGCAAACGGTAGCTTGCAGCAGTAGTTTTCATAGTAGCAGTTCTGACAAGAATGCTTTTGACAATAGCATTACTAGCACTACCAATCACAATCAGAGGTACCATTGAACATCATGAGGAGGAAAAACAGCAAGTGAAACAACCATGAATCATGAACAATAGCCATACTCCGTAAACTCGAAACATCCCTGGATCCTGAATCCAAGGCAAAAATAGACCCAGATCTGCTCCTAACCCTAAACCCTAAACCCAAAACCCCAAAACCCTAACCTAAAGCCCTAAACCCCTAAACCCTAAACCCCTAAAACGCCTAAACCCCTGAACCCTAAACCCTAAACTCTAAACCGCGAAACCCCGAAACCTGAAACTGCCTCCGCCCATTCGGCTCGCTTCTCGCAGGCGCTCACCGCGGAGCTGAAGGTGACGACCTTGGCTTCAAGCTTAGGGCTTAGGGTTTAGGGTTTAGTGTTTAGGGCTTAGGGTTTAGGGTTATTACTTTATGGGGAGGTTATGGGTCTAAGCTTTATGAGGTTTAGGGTGAAGTGAAGGCCGTAGGGTTTGGGATTTTGGGGTGGGAACTACAGAACATGAGAGTCTTGTAGCTACACATTTGGGGCTGGCAGACCTCTGGCTCTTAGGGCTCGCGAAGGTTATGGTAGGGTTTAGGGTGTGGCTTGGAGCTTAGCGTTTAGGCTGATGGCAGGGTTTGGGGCTTGGTTTGATATTTGTTTTGGGGGGGCTGGTTTGAGCTTTAGAGTTTTCAGACATTTTTATGGGGCTAAGGGTCCTGTCAAAAGGCTTCATGGGGCTTTACACAGAAGTAGAGCTGAACTTTGGCAAAAAAGGCAACGTGTCATTGTGTCATGGCTTCGGGTTTCCGATGATCAAGCAAGGCAAGGAAGTTATCTTCAGGGCGTCTCTTTCGTCGAGATCTCACGCTGAGCGTCCGGGGTCTGAGGCTCAGGGTGCCTGACTCTACATACATACATACATACATACACACAGTTACATACATACATACATACATACATACAGCTACATACATACATATGATATGCACAGATCTATACGCATGTGTCATTTTTCGACGCGTGCCTTCTGTATTTCCGCTGTAGAATGGCAGGGCCGCCCTGGGGAAAACCCTAAACCCTAAACCCTAAACTCTAAACCCTAAACTCTAAACCCTAAACCCTAAACTCTAAACCCTAAACCCTAAACTCTAAACCCTGAACCCTAAACTCTAAACCCTAAACCCTAAACTCTAAACCCTAAACCCTAAACTCTAAACCCTGAACCCTAAACTCCAAACCCTAAACCCGAAACCGGCTATGACCCCCCGGAAGCTCGCAGACAAAGGCAGGGAGCCGTGGCATGGAGACGGCAGCTGGGCAGCTGGGCCAGCCTTGGATACTTCGCTAACCTACGGTTGATGATATCGATCCTGAAGTAACCATAATCAAAAATAAACCATTATTCCCATAGTTTAGGGTCCTTAAGGTAATGTAGTAACCTGCTGTTGATGATATAGATCCTGCATTACTAAGGACCCTAAACCATGGGGATTATGATATATTCCTTATTATGGGCCATGCAGGATTTATATCATCAGCCGTAGTGTCAAATTTAGGGTCTTTCTATAGGGGCTAGGAAGAGACCCCAATAGATCCTACTTAGAGAGCTTTGGGATCAAGAAAACTCATGGTGCAAATTTATTAGACTTGGCGGCTTGGGATTTTGAGGTTTCGGACTGGCGCCCAGCAACAAAGCTCTTGACCCGAAACTGCGAACCTTAGACAGCCTTATACTTATACTCTAACTACAGCCTATAAGTGCAAAGCTCTCAGCTTGAATTATTATAGGGGCCTTAATGATTAGAATAGGGTTTCGGTGCCCATTATACTATATTTATAACAAGGAACCCCCAAAATAGTATTGGTAACTATTAAAGCCCCTACATTAGACGAACATCAGGAAAGTCACAGGCAGGACCCTCTCCGCCACGCACCTGGGGCCCGGAACACAGCAACGGTTGATGATATAAATCCTGCACTGCCTTAAGGACCCTAAACTATGGGAATTATAATGTATTCCGTATTATGGGTCATGCAGGATTTTTATCATCAACCGAAGGACAACCCGGGCTTCAATGGAAGGCTTCGGATTTGGTTTGCGTTGAGGGTGTAGTGTTTGGGGTTTAGGGGTTTGGGGTTTAAGGGTTTGGGGGTTAGGGTTTAGGGTTTAAGGGTTGAGGGCTTAGTGTTTAGGGTTTCAGGCTTTGGGGTTTAGGGTTTAAGGGCTCAAGGTTTAGGGTTTAGGGTTTTTTGCATCAAGAACTTTCGGTTTCAAGGGCGCAAGGTGAAGGCTTTAGGTCAAGGTTTGGGGTTTCTTCCCTGCGACAGCAGGGGCAAATCACTCAGAAGACATCAGAAGTGTCTGCCGTAACGCATAGAGACCTGCTGGTGGGCAAGATAAAATCGAACTTAGGAATGGTGCCAGGGCGCCGCCCTTCTCGCAAGCACTCAACGCTGCATTGCAGCAGACCAGCGACACCTTCGACAATGGAAGGCTCAAGGCTTGACCCTGACTGAACGGAAATCGGCTTCCAGCTTCAGTTGAGATCTAATCATCAAGAATAAGAAAAGTTGAGATTCAGAAAGTCGCCGGCATCTTCTCAGTGACACCGACTTTTAGATCATGCGATTGATGCTAGTTGTGCTCATAAACACCATGAGACAACTTTGTCAACAGCGCATGTCGCTCAGAACCCTAAACCCTACGCCCACCCCTCCATCAGTCAGTTGCCAAGTCTAGCTCCAACTTCTCCTTCCAGTGAAAAGTGCCCAAGAAATCCCTGAAGACCAGCACCGCAACCGTGCCCGTTCTGACCCGTTATGAGCAAGCGGCTATGACATACCCCCTAAGCTCCTAACCCTAAACTACTGAACCCTAAACTCCGAAGCTCTACACGCCTAAACCCCTAACCCCTAAACTCAAAACCCTAAACTCCTATAACCTCAAACCTTAAAGCCTAAACTCCTAAACCCTGAACCCTAAACTCCCCAAAACCTATAAAACCCAAACTCTAAACCCCTACTCCCTAAACTGCCTAAAACTGTTAAAACCCAAACCCCTAAACCCTAAACTGCACAAAACTTTTAAAACCTAAACCCTATAAACCCTGAGCCCCCTAGTCTCGGCCCTGGCCTCGCGAGGGGCAGAGGCAGAAGCCCAGTGCCTCGTTCCCATAAGCCGTACTTCAAGGCTCACGTGGAAATGGGCGTAGGGTTTACCTTAAGCCGGAATAACCTACCTTTTTAGGGTTCCTTACTATGATTTCCTTATATAAGTCCTTAAAAAGGTAGGTTATTCCGGCTTAAGGTAGGGTTTGGGGTTTAGGATTTAGGGTTTGGGGTACCGCGTGGAAAAAGGCTTAAGGTAGGGGCCTTGATGATAGAATAGGGGTTCTCTAAAGGGATCTACCAGGGTTACTACAGGGGATCTGTTCGGTACTCTAACATAGGGGCCTTGATGATTAGATGGACATGGCTTGCTGTACCAGGACCCTCCTTGTACCCTCAAACTGGGGTACATGGTCCCTAATAGTTGGCATTTAGGGTCTAATAGAGGGTAGAAGGAGGCTTAAGGTAGGGGCCTTGATGATTATAATAATGTGTTGGGGATGCATTATTCATCAGATGTAGCTATAATCAGGAACCCTGGGTAGTAGTCGTCCTCGCGGTAGTTGTCGCAGTCGTCGTAGTCCTATACAACTACAAGCACTAGTAGAAGTGGCGGCAGCGGTAGTAGTAGCCGCAGCAATGCCAGTAACAGTAGTAGGCAATAGTCGTCGTCACGGTCCCGGTGGTGATGCTAAGAACGAGGACACAGAATACGACCCCGACCGCAACGGAATGCTATGGACAAGATACCTAAATCGCCTACACCCCGAAAAACCTAAACCCCTGAACCCCCTAAACCCTAAACCCCCTAAACCCCTATGTAAACCCCTGAGCCCTCGCAACCCCCTTACCCCCAACCCCCAAGCCCAGCTGCAGCCATGCCATGGCATCAGCCCAGAGCTCCTGATGAGCGAAGGCCTTGGCGCATCGAGGATCCAGGCTCTTCCACAGACTGTACTTGGAGGCCCATGGGACTTAGTAAGTAAGGTTATCAGTAGGTTATAATTAGGATAACCCCACTTAGGGGACTTATAACCCCAGTTATAACCTACTTACTAAGTCCCATGATCCTCTAAGTACTTGGAGGCCCATGGGACCTAGTAAGTAGGGTATATATAGGGTTATAAGTACCTTAAATGGAGTTACCCGAATTATAACCCTACTTATAACCTACTTACTAAGTCCCCTGGGCCTTCAGGTAGGCGAACGTAGGGGCCGTCATAGTTAGAATAGGGCTCGGCTCCTTCTAAGGGTTCTCAAAAAGGGTCCTATTAGGGTTACTATAGGGGGTAATAGGCCTTAACCTACCTTAATAATTAGAATAGGGTTCCTTTAAAGGGTTCTATACGGATCTATAAGGGTACTATGCTAGAGGGGCCTTAATAATTGGAATAGGGTTTTGGGGCCCATTATACTATGAATAGGGAACCCCCAAAATAGTATAGGTAATTATTAAAGCCCTGTATTAGGCTACTCTGCTTGGAGGTTACAATGATTATGATTTCGAGCTTCGGGTTGTGCCTGATATCTTGGGTTTTGTCGAATTCCGAAGGCCAAGCGGCACCGAGCAGAGCCAGGAGCCCACGGACATTCCCAAGCTCAGCCTGGGTTGTGCTTTAAACCCTTTGAAAATTATTTATGAATAGGCTCTCTTTATATGGAGATAAGGGAAATTGAAAATTATCCCAAAGCACAACCCAGCAGCAGGTGGAGCAAGATGCACGGCCAGCCGCCAACTGCCAGCAGCAACTCCGGACAAGAGGTCCACAAACCTTGGTGTTCGTAATTCTGAGCTCGAAACCCTAAACCCCTAAACCTAGGTCTGCAACCTGGCCCTTAACTCCAACCCCTTTGGGGACTGGAACTGGAACACGCTCTCCGACGCGTGGACTTTCGTCTGGGTGCCGCTGCCTGGCTTTACTCCCAGAGGTTTCTACAAGAGGCTCCAAGTGCCTCACAGGCCCCAGAGCCACAATACCTGGTTGCGTTCCGACACCTCATTTAAGAAGTTTGATTTGGGGGTTTGGTCGCGTTTCACGGCGTGGGGTTGGTGTGCTTATGACATGGTCCTTAGGTCGGGTCATTGCTGCATGTCGCGAAGCACCGAGCAGTCGCTCAGCACATGCAGCGGAAAACCAATGCAAACCCTGATGAGCCCTAAATCCTAGACCCCTAGGTGCTACACCCTACACCTCAAATCCTGAACCCCATACACCTGACCCTAAATCCCTAAACCCGAAGATAGCTTCCTCTGAGGCACGAAGAGGATTGGATCTGGATTCCTGCGAAGAGCAGAGCTCGAAAGCACAGCAGCGCCTGTGCCGGAAGGGATATCAATGTAGGGGCCTTGATAATTGGGTGGTTGTCAAAATTATGGTTCCTTTCTGGGTCCTTATTATAATACGGCACCTAATATTTAGGGCACCCCACAAGGGGCCATAATTTTGACAACCACCCAGTTAGAATGGTGGCTTGGGCTCCTTAATAGTTATAATAATAAGGAATGATATTGATAATTACGTAGGCTTCTATGTTCGGCCTTCGTTTAGGGCTTGGTTTCGGGTTTAGGGTTCGAGTTTGGGGTTGGCCAAACAGGGTTACTCTGCGGCGGCTTCTCCAAGGATTTGTGGTAAGAACTTGCACAAGCATCCCTGAAACAGCCGCGAACGCCATTAAACATAACTCCTTCACCCCAACCCTTCAACCCAGAACTCCACTCAATCCTCGCGCCCTAAAACATGAACTCCTAAAGCTCACACTGCAACCCTGAGCCCCTGATCAAAGCCTATCCAAACCCTATATACATCCTTATGCCTAAACACAAACCTCAAAAACTTCATAAGTGTCTGGGCACATGACTAGAGGCTTTAGGAGTTCAGGGACTATCACTCCAGCCTAAAACCCTTAAACCCCTGAACCCCCAAACAGGAAAACCGAAGCTCTGAACCCTGCTTGGAGGATCATGGGACTTAGTGAGTAGGTTCTAATTGGGGTTATAAGTCCCCTAAGTGGGGTTATCCTAGTTTTTACCTACTTATAACCTTCCTTACTAAGTCTCATGAGCCTTCAAGTGTCACTCCGGCCTAAAACCCTAAACCCCTGAACCCCAAAACCCCAACACCTAAGCTCTGAACCCTGCTTGGGGGATCCTGGGACTTAGTAAGTAGGTTATAATTGGGGTTATAAGTCCCGCAAGTGGGGTTATCCTAATTACAACCTACTTATGACCTTACTTACTAAGTCTCATGAGCCTTCAAGTGTCACTCCGGCCTAGAACCCTAAACCCCTGAACCCCAAAACCCCAACACCTAAGCTCTGAACCCTGCTTGGGGGATCCTGGGACTTAGTAAGTAGGCTGTAATTGGGGTTATAAGTCCCCAAAGCGGGGTTATCCTAATTATAACCTACTTATAATTTCTAAGCTTACTTGCCAAGTCTCATGAGCCTTCAAGTAAACCCCAAACCCTTAATCCTTAAAGCGAGCCCTGTTATAGTCTTATGAGCCTTCAAGTGAGCCCTAACCTCTACTTGAAGGCTCATGGGACTTAGTAAGTAAGGTGATAAGTAGGCTATAATTAGGATAACCCCACTTAGGGGACTTATAACCCCAAGTATAACCTACTTACTAAGTCCCATGATCCTCTAAGTAGCCTCAGACCAGGGTCCGGTGTTGGCGACTGCACTCAGCGCGGCGCTGCTCACCACACCGCTGGAGCGCAGCATGGCCTCACCGGGCTCCCAGAGACTCCAATACCCCTTAATTAGGGAATATTCCTTAAATCAGATGAAGGATCCTACTATAATTTCAGGTATATTCCTTAAATCATATTAAGGATCCTACTATAATTTAAGGTATATTCCTTAATTAAGGGATATTGGAGTCTCTGGGCTAAGAGCTTCTGGGGTCGAGCGCTTGGGGTTTAGGGTTTAGGGTGCTTGGGCTCTAGGGTAGAGTTTGGGGTTTAGGATCCAAGGGTGTAGAAACTTTTTGCGGAGCTTTTGTGATTTTTGAGGGCTTTAAATGGAGTTTTTGAGGTTTGAAGCACCCGAAAAGGCTCACCTACCAACTTCAAGGTTAAGCTCCGATAATTAACATAGAAAGAGGCTTACCGACAAGCGAAGCTACAGACCCTAAGCCCTCATGGAGAGCACTACGGTAGTTTATAACCCTATAAGGCTCAAAATGTCCCAAAAGCCTTATGTAGTCATTATAGATGGTCTTTGGGCTCATAAAGCCTTAACGGCATATATTATGAGTCTTTAGAGCCTAAGGGTACAGCAGAGAGGAGAGGAGTTTTGCGCCCACCCGAGCCAGACCCTAGTTCATGGTTGGGATAGATTTAAAAATTGATTTTGTTATTCCTTATCGGGTTTAAGTCCCATAAACATGTAAAATGTTACCCAACTATGACAAAGGACCTTCTGCAGACTGCACAGGGACGCTGCAAGCGCCCAGCGCCCAGATCCGCAGCCTCAGAAAGCTTCGGAATAGAGTTCTGGGCTCCGTTATAGCTGATTCCTTGGGTTTCCTTATTATAACTACACTATAGTATAGGTATAATAAGGAAACCCAAGGAATCATGAAGATTATAGTAAATAGTTATAATAAGGAAATGCAAGGAATCATGAAGCTTCGGGATTTGAGCCTGCCAAGGATGAAACTAGTGATGGAAACACCCTAAACCCTAAACCCCTAAACCCTACGCCCAAAGCCATGAAGCCTAAACCCAAGCTCCTAAACCCTAAACCCCTAAACACTACACCCAAAGCCATGAAGCTTACACCCAAACTCCTAAATTCCTAAACCCTAAACCCTAAGCCCCCAAACCCTACACCCAAAGCCATAAAGCTCAAACCCAAACTCCTAAACCCATAGTGCGGGAGTGAGTTGGCAAGGCCTCGGGCTAGGTATGAGGTGTTGCGCCAGGTGCTACATTGCCGTTTGGGGTTTAGGGTTTTAGGGTTTGGGGGCCCTACTGCCTCAACCATCCCCGATGCGGTTCAGGGCTCACGGCGTCTAGGCGTCTCGGGGCGCATGGCCCATGGTTCAAGGGCTCAAGGTTTAGCTCCCCGAGCTACTGGAGTCTGATGGAAATCTGTTAAGATGCTCTTCTGCGTCTTCAGCTCCGTCATTGCTTTTCGACTCACCGGCTCAAAACCCATCACGGGCAAACGGTGAACGCACGCTCGTTTCTTTAGCACACTTTTTTTGCGGCGATAGTGTCAGTGCCCGTACAGGTCGTCAAGTTGCCGTCACGGCCAGCGCTGGGAAGGAGACGGTCCGTCAAAAACAAGGTCGAAACATGCAGCACTGGAAGTTTAATTAGGGCTTATAAGGCTTAAGGATTAGAATTTCTTTGGGGGGGATGTCGCATCATGCCTGCCTGAAAGGAAACTTGAAGCCACCACCGGCCACCGGGTTTACGAACGTTACATGAAGGTCACGGGCTCCACACGACAGACCCCAAACTTACCTTTGGTTAGTAGGGAATGGAGGAATGGGGTACAATTATAACTACTGTTACTACCATTCTTCCATTCCCTACTCACCAAAGGTAAGCAAATCCCCAACCCCTGCAGCCTCCAGCAGCAGTTCCAAAGGAGACGAGGTCCCACTGGTGGCCTTGCAAACTCTCGCCCTCTCCCTCTCAGTCTCCCCGGTCTCCCCCCTCTGTCCCTCCCCTCGACTGTTTGTCTGTGAGAAAAGCAATACATACATGACATACATACAAGTGTATGCAAACGCAAGAACATGTATATATGTACATTACATTGCTTTGCAGTACCTTACATCACGTAAGTTCATTCATGCATACATATATATATGTTCATAGATAGGTATATATATATATGTATATGTATATGTATATGCATGTATATATATATATATATAAGTATAAGTATAAGTATAAGTATAAGTATAAGTATAAGTATAAGTATAAGTACAAGTACAAGTACAAGTATAAGTATAAGTATAAGTATAAGTATAAGTATAAGTATAAGTATAAGTATATGTATATGTATATGTATATGTATATGCATGTGTATCTAGGTATGTATGTATGTATGTATGTATGTATGGTATTATGCAAGGACGCCTGTACTTGTATGCTTGGGTAGTGTATGTGTGTGTGTGTGCACATAGTGCATGTGTACATGAGTGAGGACGGTGGGCGAACACCGAGACATTGATAATGACCCGGCTGCTTGCAATAAGAAGACATCACAACGAGAATAACGGGAATAACCTTCTCGTCAAACGTTTAGAAAGAAAGCACCCCGACCATCTGGTGGAATTTCACGGGAGGCCCAAACCAATGTCCCTGCTGGTGTTCTCATCTCGAATCAACTGGAGACATACTCCATCTCGTGCACACACGGTCCGGTGTGCCAATTTGTGATGTCTATAGTGTGCTCTGTTCATGTCGACACCACTTCACCAATGTTGCTGAATCGTTCGTGTCCGTACTGGTCCGTTGCTAGCCTTACGATGACGACTTGTCTGAGTCTGGTCGGGCAGTGATGCACATTCTCACTGCTGTTCCTAAACCCTAAACCACCTAACTTCTAAAGTGTCCGAAACCAAAAACTGCTCAGCCACCACCCCCAAAACCCTGTGAGGCTTAGCCCACTGCCCTGCTGGTGCAACCGGTGCAGGGACTGGAGAACGCGCTGCCATCTGCCCGCTTGCTGGCACGCCTTCCTCGAACAAACTCAGCGTCATGTGGGTGGTTGTCAAAATTATGGTCCCTTTGTGGGTCCCCAGTATAATACGGCCCTTTAATACGGCACCTATTATTTCGGGCACCTAAAAAGGGACCATAATTTTGACAACCACCCAAGTGAAGACTTCCTTTCTGTGGGTGTTTGCAGCAGCGCGTCAGGATTGTCTGTTCGCATGGTAATGGAAAAAGTATTCGGTTAGTCTTCTCTTCTGCGTGCGACATATATTTATGTGCCTTATGTCAAGCTTTCGGGTCTTGAGCTCGCGATTCAGGTCGACTAGAGGTCAGACAGTCAAGGCCTTCTGCTTCGAAGAAGCATTCCAAACATGAGATGTGGCACTGTACTACTACACTCTATGGGCACCCTAAACCCTAAACACCCCTCAACTAAACCATGTGGGTAGTTGTCAAAATTATGGTCCCTTCTTGGGTCCCTATTACAATACGGCACCTGATATTTAGGGTACCCAAGAAGGGACCCCAATTTTGACAACCGCCCATGTAGACCCTGAGCCCCAAAACCCGACACTTCGCTTCTGCAGTCCCTTTCCTTAGTTGCCCCAAAAGTGTACACTTTCAGTTTAATAGTGGGTAATACTATGCCAAAAGGTGTAAAGTGTATCCACTCAGCTACTAAGTTTCGGAAGCCTCAACTTCTCGAACTCGAACTGCTCGAAGGGATGATTCGGGGGTTTGGGGTCTTAGGGGTACCTTGTTTGAGGGTCCTTATAATAAGGATCCTACTACTTAGGGTACTATGTTAGGGTCCCCTATTTTCGGAAGCTCTCTTATGGCGCCCGGGGTTTGGGGTTTTGCGGCTTGGTGTTAAGGGGTGATGCACGGCCCAATTCTGGTGGCAGCTAAGCGTCATTGCAGCATGCAGTGTTGCCATACTGGGACGAAGGAGGCCCTGCGCATTTCGCAGCTCCAACTCAGACTCATAAGCATTCATAAAAATTTACTACTTCTTCAACTCGCAAGGTGCCGGGGGTCCGGATTTTAGAGTCGTAAATGGGGCTAGTACAGTATCAAAACATCACGACACCCCACACTCTAGACCCTAAGCCCTTAACCCCAAACCTAAACCCAACCTCCTCAAGCTGCCGCGCGTGCAGGAGTGCCACTCGCCATCTGCCCCATGCTGCCACAACGTTGATGACGGCGTTGTACGAGATCACGCCGAGCCTGGGGGACCCCAAAGAATACAGGAGGGTTGCTGTAAGGGCCACGAACATAGGACTTAATTAGGGGAATGGATAGCTAGAATAGGGACTTGGGGTACATCACAATAATGTAGTTAGAGAAAGAAACCCAAGGAATGACAGTGGCAAATCTTCCCGCCCCTGTATTCTGCGCTTAACCTCGACACAAACTGGAATAGCGGTAGGACCCTGTATCCCGGGTGGTGCAAGGCTTTGGCATGTAGCACGATACAGGCAGACAGAGAAGGTCCTAAACCCTAAACCCAAACCCCCACGGCCATCTACACCGTGGGCCCTATCATCGCCAAGTGTTGAGGCCGTTGCTAGGGTAACTGATGCCAAGCTGCTCCACTGCATGGTCCAGGTTGAACGACAAGACCTGCGAGCTGGATGCATGTAAGCGCAGCAGCAACGAAAAGAACAATCGAACACCGTAAAGCCTAAGAGTAGAACAAACGTCAGAACAACAGTCGGAATAGCTGCAGCAATAAGGAAACACGATCGACGATCTGTGCTAAGGTCCTGCGTGGCAAACACCACCGTGGCTGTGTTCGTGCTTATGCCTGTTCCATGCCACATTCATCGTCGTTCTATCCCGTCCGCACCACCGTCAACACAACTTGCCAACGTGAGTGATGGCAAACTGTGGTTTGCGTTTCGGTGGAGGTCTCTTGAACAACCAAAGACTAAATGAAGATTTCTGTACTGGTGTGTGTGTGTGTGTTTGTGTTTGTCTCTCTCTCTCTCTCTTTCTCTCTCTCTCTCTCTCTCTCTCTCTCTCTCCCTCTCTCTCTCTGTCTCTGTCTGTCAGTCTCTCTCTCTCTCTCTCTTTCTCCCTCTCTCTCTCTGTCTCTGTCTCTGTCTCTGTCTGTCAGTCTCTCTCTCTCTCTCTCTCTCTCTTTCTCTCTCTCTCTCTCTCTCTCTCTCTCTCTCTCTCTCTCTCTCTCTCTTTCTCTCGCTCTCTCTCTCGCTCTTTCTCTGTCTCTCTCTCTCTCTCTGTCTCTCTCTGTTTCTCCTTTTCTCTGTCTGGCTCTCGCTCTCTGCATACTCTACAAAAGACTCCATCTATCTTTCTATCTATCTAATCTATCTGTCTATCTATACAAATACATTGACATGAATCTCTAGTAGTGAACATGCCCCTGCGACTCCGCACTTCCTGGAACCATGGATAAATCTAAACATATATGACTATGTGATATATATATATATATATATATATATAGATACAAACATACAAACATACATGCATACATACTGTCACATCAACACATACATCAACCCTTGAAACCCCCACGAGAGCTTGAGAGACCGCTGCCCAACCCAAATGGAGGCTCGATTGCGACTGCCTGCAGCGCTTTCGGCCAGGGTCCCCGGGAATCGAAGCCCAGGCTCACTGTGCAGGTAAAGCCTCGGTTTTGCTCGGGAGATTCAGGGATCTGGGTTTAAGATGCTTTGCAAGGTGCTTGGGGTTATAGGGATTTAAGGATGTAGGGTTTAGGGGTGTTTGAGAGTCTTTGGCATGCCTGCTGGGGCTTCGTCATCATTTTGGAGGGTCTACGCTTGCTCACCAGAGTGTCTCCTGGCGTCTTGAGTCCAAAGGTGTCTACGGTGTGCAGAGTTGAGGGCGTAGGAGTTTAGACTTTAGACCTTAGGGTAGGGTTTGGGTTGGGGGCAAATTAACGGTGTGGGGTTGGGGTCTCGCGGCTCAGCCTATTCCCCACGTTGGGACTGCATCCCGAAGGCAACGTGTGGTGTTGCTGTTTTCCAGCAAGTCTAGCGCATGTCACCGGCACAATGGCTGCGCACCCATGAGCAACATCCATGTTGGTGTTTCGTTTTCCGCTATCGTTGCCTTCAGCTGATGTTTTTTGGAAAGTCTTCTCGCAAATGCTTAGAACTGAGCTACAGTCTTGACACTGTTCTCATTTGATATTGATACTCTTGAGCTGAGTTCCCTGCGAATAATGCGCCTCATGCTATGACAACCGCTGGTCATACACTTGCTCTTGGCATTGCGATCATTTTGTTGAGACCTGCTCCTACTGAACGTATGCGGCGACATATCTAGTGATAGTCGGTGCCATAGTGGCAGGGGATAGCAATAGCAGTCTAGTGTATAATTGAGGGGCCTTAAGAGTTACATGTTCTATTTTGATTTAAGGGTTCCTAGTTATAGTTATATTTATAGTATTATGGGCCCCAAAACCTATTCTAATTATTCAGGCCTCAAACTTAGAATACCCTTATAGCCCCTCTAAAGGAACCCTATTCTAGAGCATTCGGCAATTTCTTGCACAGTGTCCCACGCCCCAAAATGCGAATCCCCAGAGCCCAAGCCCCGAGCGTCCCGAAGCCCCCAAGCTCGAGCGCCAAAAATCCCAAACCGCTGCAGCTCTAACACTCCCAAGCCCCAACCGAACCTGAAATCCGACGTCCCAAACCGAAAAACTGAAGCCCCGAAACGACCGTCCCAGAGCGATCCGGGCACTGTCGGGGCGAATCTGCTTCAGCATGCTCACCCTCAGGAAGTTCTTTCGCGCGCAAAAAATGGAAGTTTGGGACTTGTGGGTTAGTTATGGCCTACCTGTCGGGTATCATGGGGAACTACAGGTTAACCTTTTTGTTTATATAGGGCTTATATAGGGACTATACTACCCCAAAAAAGGCTAAAGGTTATCTACTCGACTACTAGGATGGTTTATGGGCCAGGGGGTGAGAACAAGGGTCGAAGGCTTCGGAAGTTGGGGTTTTGCGCTCAGGGTCTTGAGGCGGATCTTCTGTGACTTGTTTTAGCCCCCGGAAGCTCCGCAAACACAAAACACACACAAGCGCACACACACACATATGGGTGGTTGTCAAAATTAGGGTCCCTTTTTGGGGTTCCTGATTATAGTGCGGCACCTAATATTTAGGGTTCCCAAAAAGGGACCATAATTTTGACAACCACCCACATGGCTTGCAGGCTATCCACCTAGTTGCAACACAAGTAGTTGGCAAATGCTGTGTGCGCGCGCGCTTCATCTAACTCTACGGTTTGGTGTTCCTTCAGGGTAACTGTGGAGCCCTCGAGTGTGCTGCATTCGCAGGTTGACACAACCTGAAGTGTAGGTTTTAAGCCTGACAGCAAGGGGTCAGCCCGCACCTGCTTCCACACATTTCGCCACAAGTATCCCCAAATATATCCACATGTCGCACTTGCATTTGCAGTGTCGAGCAGCCATGTCCTTAAGCCCCATATGCTTCCCACCCCCTCTCTGCCTAAACCCTAAACCCCTTAACCCCTAAACCGTAAACCCTAAACCCCTAAACTCCTAAACCCTTAAACCCTAAACCCTCCTTCCGAGTCGCTTTGTCAGCTCCACAGCCTCGTCCCAGGCATGCCCAGTTGCACAGACACCTGCAGGAGTGGGCTTTCCAGGATCTACCAGTGTCGGGTTAAGGTTTAGGGTTCGAGGTACTAGGCTTCGGGGGCTGAACCCGTAGACCCCTAAACCCCGAACCCCTAAACTGCTAGATCCCTTGAGCCCCGAAACCCCCTCAACACTGAAGTCCCAGAACCATGTACATTAAACCAATCCCCAAGCCCGCAGCCCTAAACCCCTACCCAAAGGCTCCATAGTAGTTCCTGTTTGGGATTACCTTATAGGATTTTAAATATGAATCCCAAAAAGGAACTACTATGGAGCCTATGGGTATACACCCCTGAAACCTGAGCCCAGGCTCTGGCCTGTAGCCGCATTGCAGAGGATCCGATTCGGCTCCTTCCGTCTACAAACGGCTGGACTCCATTTCAAGGGTGGTTTCGGGGAGTTAAGGGGTTTAGGTGTTAGGGTTGAGGGTTCTGGGTTACTACAAGGGTTAGACAGTAGGGTTTTCGGTTTTTGGGTGTTAGGTTGTGTGTGGCTTTGTAAGGTTTGACATGATTTCGGCCTTTCGTGCCCTGGCTCTGTAGGAGTGTGGGAGCTGAGGACCAAGTTAAAGGCGGGGTTTGGTTAGTTTTGGGCTTCATCAGGCGTTCTACCGGGTTGTACGAAGATTCCATAATCCTAAATCCAAAACCCTTGCAACACGTACTTCGGTCCTTTCGGGTCTATGTTGAAGGCTTTCTCTGCACCCAGATCTACGGAAAATAAACATCGAGGGTTTGCATGAAAGGTCTTCGGGGACTGAGGAATCTGGGCCTTATGTAGGGGTGTAAGGTTGAGTTGAAGTTTACCGTTAGTAGGGGTCTCTGAGACCCGAACTCCATGAGCAGCGTAGGCTTTCTCGACGAGGCAAAAGAAACCGGCAAACAGAAAAAACGGAGAGACTCAACAATGGCAACAACCACCAGACCCACCAGAATCACGGCCGTGATCATATTCACGATGCTTAATTCAGCAGAAGTGTTAACATACATATATATATATATATACACATATATTTACATATATTTCTTAAACAAGACTAGCTTTCAGCACGCACTTGAAGCCCTCGCACAACCCTACACTAAAAAACATGACAAACCTTCTCACAACACAAAACCCACCGGTAAAACACACGGTGCACAACACCAGTAGTATCAACCTGGAGCAAACAAAGCCAAAAGCACACATGGAAGCCTTATAAGCCTTTAAACAGAGCTGAAAGCCCTAAACCCGACCTAAAACACAGGAACCCCTGAAAAGAACCTCTTCAAGCTGCCCTAGACCCTAAACCCGAAACCCCTAAACCCTAATGCCCTAAACCCCTAAATCCCTAAACCCAAAACCCTCAAAGCCCAATGGCTCCAGGTCGGTCGCAGCGAGACAGCCCAGCAGCTCAAGTGCCAGGGGCCACTGCGAAAGCCCCTCACAGGCACTAATTGCCGTGCCTTGGGCGCTTAACGGTCGTAGGGGTTTAGCGTTCAAAGCAGCTAAAACTTAGAGTTTAGGGGTGTTGGAGGTTTGACAACCTCGAGGGCTTCAAGGTTTAGGTTTAAGAGTGATGGGTCTATGTGGGCACAGCCGAAGAAGTCTCGAAGCCTAGAGATCATAGCTTGGCGTATTTTGCCACAAAACCGCCATCTCTGGCGTCAAATTCTGAAGGTCTATATATATATATATATATATATATATATATATACATATTGCTTGTGGGATGTATGAATAGCTCCTGCTGTTATCATTGAGAGCTTAACCTGTACAGGATTGAGGGGCAGGGCTTATAATAGGAGTCCGAGGGTAGCTGCTTGCCAAGTTGCTGAAAGAGATCTGCGTTGCTTGCAGTCCGCCTGCGTCCCAACCGCACAAGGCTTACCACCAAAACACGTGCTGCCAGAACCAAAGCGAAATGGCCCCCTCCCCTGGCGCCCGTAAACCTCGTGTTACTGCTGTCCTTGCAACTGTACCGGCCTGTAATCTGGCAGCTACCATGAGATTCGCTAAGGCCAGGCCGCATGACTGCCTAGTCAATCATTGCAAGAGCTGCGCTCGCGAGCTGTAGATCTTTACATCTACTCAACATCGCTTTCCCTGCTTTGCAATATCTGGAAGGTTGTCTAGTCCCTTGACATCTTCTTACTGCAAAAACTGAATCATAGTGCATCTTGTCCAGTGGGTGTATGGAGGCCCAGAGGACTTAGTAAGTAGGGTTATAAATAGGGTTATAAGTACCTTAAATGGAGTTACCCCAATTACAACCCTACTTTTAACCAACTTACTATGTCCCCTGGGCCTTCAAGTATGGAGGTGGCTGACTGTACTTCATGGTCGGGTCGGGCCGGGTGCCGTGTTCCGAAGTGTTTTGCCAGGCGGGCGGGTCAGGCTTTCACCAAGGTGTCATTGTGAGGTAGGTTGAAGTAGCGGTTCTCTGGGAGGCAGCGTCTGCAAGAAATACACGCAACGATTCGAACGGAAGCCGTCGCAAGCCAACTGCCCTCAAAACTTCCAAACAGTTAATCAAACAACAGCCTGAAGACAGGGCTCGACAGACATGCAGTACACTTCCGAATTTTGAAATAAAGCCTCTGACAAACCAGGCCGACATCAGCCATCAAAACCGAAGCCCAACTTCCTGTGAACGTAGATGTCACCGCCTCGACAAAGCTCTGCCAACAAAGCCAATGCAAGCTGCCACTCTGACGCTCCTTGGCAGGCCTTCCTTAGCACCAGCAAGACGAGCTACAAGTGGGGTTGTAAGTCCTCCAATATGTGCCATGGGTAGGGGATGGTTGTAAGTTGTAGGTATACGGATTACCAGTGGGGTTCGGGTAGCTGTCCATAAAACGGTATAACCAATGTTGGGGGGGCCTCTAACTACACAACTACACCGGAACCTCAAAGTGGGCTAAAGTGGGGCTCAAGGTGGGGCATTTTGGCCTCCGGGCTTCGGGATACAAAGCTTACATGGGCGGGGCTCCGAGGTTTTACAGGCTGGGTGTTCTGGGATGTACCAGTCTTTTTGTGGGGGGGTTCACAGCAAGTGAGTGGTCGGGAGTTTGTTTGTGGAGTCCAGGATGCACTCCCTGTAGAACTTCCGTAATCCACAACACACGCTTGAAGAAAGAACTTATGCCGCCCTTATATACCCTGATAAACCCCTGGTGAAGAACTTGTTACATGTTCGAAAATACCAGACACCCACAACTCCCGAGAACCCTATAAGCTCCAAACCCCAGAAACCCCTTTGGGTGCCCAAGCGCATGGTCGCATTGTACGAGACCGCGCTGGGCTGCAAGAACCTCCGGGGCAGCTCGGCCAAGGTCTGCAGAGCCACTTGCCACTGTGCCTGCAGGGGGCTTGGCTAAGCTCAGGGTTTAGGGTTTCTTTTTTGAACTCCTTTTTGCGTCTGCCCTAAGGGTTTCGGGTTTAGGGTAGGGTTCGGGAGTTCAAGGGTGTCGGGTTGTGGGGTTACCTAGTTTTAGGGCTTAGAGGATTTGGGATTCAAGGGTTCTGGGGTCTAGGGTTTAGGGCAGTGTTCGCATGGCAAGCAAACAGCTCTACATATCGTCACAACACTAACACCGCTCGCAAACGGATTCAAGACTGAAAGTGTATAAGAGCAACAGCAATAAGAGCACCAATATAGCAAAACCAGCAACCATAAAACCGACCTGTCAAATTATATCAAAGGGGAAAACCTTAATGGGGACCCCTACCCTATAATGGGCTATATAATGGGTATATAATGGCTATTTCCAGGGTATATACCTAGGGGTCCTGATTAAGCGTCCCTCCTTTTCCCCTTTGGTAATTCTGAGGCACAAGAGAGCTACAAAGCGTACTCTTCCGCGCCTCCTTTGCACAGGCCGAGATCTCCATGTTGCACCTGCTTGCTTTCGGCAAAGTGTCAGGCAGCCAGAGGGTTGAGATTAACTTCATAAGAATCCTGATTTAGGGAGTTTTGGAATATCTTATCCTGGTTTGGAAACGCGTTTTTTCGGAAAAAACACATAAGAATCCTGATTTAGGGAGTTTGGGAATATCTTATCCTGGTTTGGGAATATCCTACCTATACTTGCAGGCTTACGCTTCCTGTAGGGGTCACGAAACGAACGCTTGCACCTTCAACCTACTAAATGCAGCATCTGCTGCCTCACCATGTCACCTACCATGGGGCCCAAACCCTAAAGTGAAGCCCTGAAGGCTGAGATTGCCCGCCAAGAACGTGCATATCCTAAACGCCCTTACATGCCCGAAACCCTGAGCCTAAACCCTAGACTCTAAACCCTAAACTCTCAACTCCAAAAACCCTAAACCCGTAGACCCATGACCCGAAACCCTAAACCCTCGACCCTATACCGCACGCACAAGCGGCGCGACGAGCTCGGCGGGCTGGCCGGCCGGCCGCCGCAGCACCCCTTCCGCCATCTCTGCCCAACCCAAGGGTCAAAATTCGGGTTTAGGATAGGGGTTTGGGGTTTAGAGGTTTAGGATTTAGGGGTCGCTGCCCAACCCCAGGATCAAAATTCCGGTTAGTGAGGCTACTCTGACGCTGAAGGGGTTCCTATCTAGGTACTTCATACTAAAGCCAGGTTCACCGTCAGCAGGTTTCCGAGGGGCCGTTCTGAGCTATGAACTTGCGGGCCGATCACGCGAAGTCGGGAAGCGTGAAGCTTAGGGTTTGAAGCTTAGGGGTTTAGGGTTTAGGGTTTAGGGTTTAGGGTTTTTCAGGCTTTCGGGTTATTAGGGTTTAGAGTTTAGCGGTTAGGGTTTGAGGCTTGATGCTTCACGTCCCGTACCCTACCGAACCTTTGCCGCTGGACCGGCATAAGGTACCCTTATGTTTACGATCCCCACAAAGTCAGGTCACAGATGGACATCTCCACGTCAACCATGCAGCTTCTGGGATTGGCACATCCTTTTTGTCGCGAATCAATGCCCCGAACCTCCCGAACCAAGAGGACTAAATCCCTAAGTAGTAAAGCCTGAACTACACACACAACCGCCAAACCCTGAACCCCAGACCAAAAACCGCTGAACCTTGAACACCCCAAACCAGCCCAAAAGGCCTTCTAGACTCAGTAGCCCAAACAAACCCGTACAGACATCTCGTCGAACCCCAACCTCGTGAAGTGAGATGACGATCGATTCAGGAGCCCAAGTTCACGACAGATCCTGGCGTCGGATCAAGAGGGGGGCATATCCCCGGGCCGAGACGGTGGAGGGCTTGGGGCTTAGTTGTGGAGGGGTTGAGGGTTCAGAGGTGAGGGGTTAGTGTTTAAGGTTAAGGCGTCAAGGTTTGGGATTTAGGGTTTAGGGCTTCAGGTTGAGAGCCAAGTTAGGGGCTCTCACAAGCTCTATGGGGCTCAATTCTCTCGGATCTATCATTGAGGTTTGTGCTCGTGTTCCAGGCTTAGACGGCAGGGCTCTTTGGAAAAAGGTTTTTGGGAGTGCTGGGCGTTCTGCCAGAATTCAAGATGATGGATTTGTGGATCCGCGGTCTGAGCCAGCAGCTTACTTGTGATGGTTTAGCCTTACTATAAACTTGATTTACTCGCAGCCTGCACTGCAGCTTATGTATTGAATCCTCTGATCCCTCGAGCAAGTCGGCGAAAACCAGAACACGAGAACTACCTTGTGTCTCTCAGGAGTACGTAGCAACAACAGAGGCTGCATTACGGGTCCCTTGAAATGATGAAACATAGCACAGGATTAATGTAGCGGCCTAAACAATTACCAATACGGAAACTTTAGGGCTTCCATAATTTAAATATACAGTAGAAGCCAGAAAGTTGGAATATAGAATAATGGTAGGATCCCCTATAACTTACCTTAAAGGGGTTACGATAATGATATTCCAACTTTCTGGCTTCTACTGTAGTATAATGGCCCCCAAAAACCCTTTTCTGAGTCGTTCGTACATCATCACAAGACCCTTACGACATCAAGCCCTGTGAGGCCCAAAAATCCTAAACCCGTAAATCCGTGAACACAAGCCTGCCATAAACAAAACCAACCAGCCTTCACAAGCCCCATACAAAGTTCAAAACATAAACCCACCAAATCCTAGTTCAAAACGAATCTAACAAATCTAAGACTCGTACAACCAAAAAAGGTAATCAATTCTATCTTTAATAGAAACTCTTATGCGCCCCGCCCCCCCACTTCATAGACTGTATGGTACGCTCCTCTCCGGTATGGGGTTCTACTGTCCCGAGGGTTTTCCCTAAAATCCCAAACCGCTGGAAGAAAACACCAAAAACTAAACCCTAAACCTCAACCCCTGTGAAGCCCAATAAAAGCTTCTTAACCTTCAGAAAACCGCTCTCAACTTCCCATTTTTCCAGCCCTTTAAAAATCCGATCGGAACCTCTAAAGCCTTGCGGTTAACCCCGCACCCTGAACCCCTCCCAAACCCTCAACCCTTCAATGCAACGTGCAAAGCCGCCCGGGCCTGGCCGGCATCCCCCAACACTCTGCGGAGGCCTGGGTTCTCCATCCTCGAGAAACTGCGAGACATCGAACGGTTCGTAACGGACGTTTAGGGTTGAAGCGCTACTGCAAGGGCTACTACAAGGAATCAGAATCCTACGGCTGATGATATAAATCCTGCATTGCCCATAATAAGGAATATACTGCAATTCCCATAATTCAGGGCCATTGAGGTAATGCAGGATTTTTATCATCAACAGTAACTCAGTAGAACTCTTCTGGTCCCCATTAAACCCCCGAAAACCCACCCAAAGAAAGCCCTGCTAAGCTCCTTGGGCATCGGGTCGAAGTTGCTGAGCTCGGAGAAGCTCCGACCGTGTGCAAACTTGCTGCTTGCGACAGCTGCCTTCGGGTTCAGGGTTTGGGATTTGGTTAGTTGTCAGAGTTATGGTCCCTTTTCGGGCACCTAAATATTAGGTGCCGTACAATAATAGGGACCCAAAAAGGGACCATAATTTTGACAACCACGCATTTGGTCATTTAGGGTATAGTTCAGGGATAGAATTTCCATGGGTCGGAAAACAAAGTAATCCGCGAAACACCCTTGCAAAACCCGACTCGTCCGAAAAAGTATTCCGCGAATCACCCCAGAAATCCAAACGGACAGCCCGACTGGTCCGACAAAGTATTCCTGCACGGGTTGGTACGGGTTGAGTACGGGTAAAAGGTGAAAAATGAGTACGCCTTTTTTGTCATCATGTTGGGTTTGATACGCCATCTGTACGCGTACGCTTTCCGTACGAGTTTGGGTGCGGTTTGGCTTTCACCAAACTTTTCACCATCTGGGGTTTGAGTACGGATTCGGTCTTGGCATAACATATTCCCACCCCGCCCAAAAAAAAGTAGTCCACACCACCGAATCCAACCTAGCCTCAAAAAGTACAGTAGCCCTCCCCAACAAGTATTCCGCACCACAAGATACCAAAACAAAACAATATGCACCAAAATGTAGACCTGTTTTCCGGAATTGTGAACTTTTTTGTGCGGGATGGAAAGAAAGTAAGGAACCCAGGCACTTGCTGGTACTTGGAGGCCCAGGGGACTTAGTAAGTAGGGTTATAAATAGGGTTATAAGTACCTTAAATATAGTTACCCCAATTACAACCCTACTTATAACCTACTTACTAAGTCCCCTGGGCCTTCAAGTAGGCGAACATAGGGGCTGTCATAACTAGAATAGGGCTCGGCTCCTTCTAAGGGTTCTCAAAAAGAGTCCTATTAGGGTTACAATAGGGGGGAATAGACTGTAACTTATCTAGGTGGGGCTTTTAAAGCCTTTGAGAAATATTAGTTTTTAAGATCCTCTTAAGCCCAATAAGGGAAAATATAAAATGTCCCAAAGCCCTACCTTGTTATAGGGGCCTTAAAGTAGGGTTCAGGAGGCAAGATTCGAATCTCTAGCACCCTGGAGATGGGATGCGGGCCTCTTTCCCACGGACCCTCTGCCCTGCCTGGGTCCTACATGCTGCACAAACACTCTAAACCCTAAACTCTAAACCCTAAACCCCTAAACCCTAAACCCCTAAACCCTAAACCCCTAAACCCCTAAACCCCTAAACCCCCAAACCCTGAAGCCCTAAACCCTTATTAAACCCTAAACCCTGAACCCCGCCCTGAACCCGGAAGCCTAAACTGTTGCGAGCTGCAGGGACAGGGTGACTTCGCCTGAGGGGCGTGGGTTTGGAGTTGCGTGTGTTCCTTTGAGAGGGTTTAGGGTTTAGGGTTGAGGGTTTAAGGTTTAGGGTTTAGGGTTTGGGGTTTAGGGTTTGGGGTTTAGGGTTCAGGGCAGCATCAAATCTCACAAGCTTTAAGGCCTAACTCCAAACCCCTGAAACCTTAGAAGCCCTTCTATTCTAAGTGCTTCTAACTATTCCGATTCCCCAAACCTAGAGCCCCGGATAACCCCAAATCCGGGTCCTATCGAACTCTTACTGAGTAACCCGTATGGCAACGCTTGCAGTAATCCCGAAAGAAAACTTCCCTCAAAGTTCCACTTTTTTCGAAACATCCCTAGCAACCATTGAAAACCATTGCAGTAACCAGTGGAGTAACCGTTGTAGCAACCTTTGGCGCAACCCTTATAGTAGCAAGCCGAAAGCCGCCAGAACAACGAACCCTGAACCCTAAACCCCTAACCCCTAAAACCACTAAACCCCTACAACCCCCAGCCCCTAAACCCAAACCCTTCACCCTAAACCCTCAATACCTCCACACCCCCCCAACCCCTAAACCGCAAATCCTCTCCCCCCAACCCCTAAACCCTAAACCTCCACACCCCCCAACCCCTAAACCCCTCGCGCCTTCGTGTCAGCGCGTGCTTGATCGGAGCCAGCGGCTGCCAGAAAGTCCGCGACTTTCCAGCCTTGCCGAAAAACTCGGGGATTCCTTTGAGGGCCCTTTAAGGGATCCTTTAAGGGCCCCCTTTTCCTTGAAGGGCCCCTTTTTGAATCCTTTCAGGATTCCTTTAGGGCCCTTTCCAGGGTTCCTCGAAGGGCCCTTTGAGAGCCTTTCTAGGGTTCTGCATGTTCCTCTAAGGCGGCTCTTAAGGCTCTTTTTAGCGTCACTTTACAGTAAACCCCATAAAGTTGGAAAGAAGATTAAGGCCGGGTTTCCAACTTTTTGGCTTCTACTGTATAGGCTGCTTTTTGCATAAGGGAACCTTACAACCTGGTTGAAGTTTAGGGTGCTAGTACACCAACCCTAAACCCAAACCCTACGCCTTAAATCCCCAAATCCCCAACTCTCCGGGATTGGGATTTCCGAAAATTTGGGGGGGACCCTACTATAGCACACTAGACAGCAGGATCCCTATTAGTAGGACCCCAAAATAAGGTACCCCTAATTTTCGGAGACTCTAAACTGATAGAGCCCTTTAAAGGAACCCTTATAGTACCCTTATAGTAACCCTTTGAAGGAATCCTACGGTACCCCCTAGTTTTCGGAAACTCCCGGACCTCGACAGCATGTCCAAGAGTGGCAACGATCGCGTCGAGGCCTCCAATGCCTCTGCGGAGCTACTTGGGTAGTTGTCACAATTATGGTCCCCTTTTTGGGTACCCTAAATATAGGTGCCATATTATAATAGGGACCCAAAAAGGGACCATAATTTTGACAACCACTCACTTGAAGGTTAAGGGCTCTGGCTTGAGGGTTTAGGGTTTAGGGAGGATTAACCGATTTTGCATCAATGGTATAGTGTAACGTGCTGCTTGGTGGCAGCGTTCTGTGCCTTTACAGTTTATTGGGTGCAGTGGTAAGTAGAGTCTGCCTGGACCCTAAGGAACCTTGCTTTCTAGGGCTCCCCAATATGATTTCTTTATATAAGCCCTTAAAAAGGTAGGTTACTTTTGGTTAAGGTAAGGATGCTATACGGTTGCTATTTGGCTTTACAGTGGTCTGCGGGGGGGAGAGGGGGTGGTAGGTAGTTGTAAGTAGCACATAAGCCCCTCAACTCGGATGCGACCTGAGCTTTTGGGTTGCAGAGGGTTTCTGAAAGTCTGAAAGGGGTGAAGGCCTAGCGCCTACTGCTTCACTGCTTGAAACTTACGGCCTACAACTTATAGCTCAAGGTTGTCCGATTTAACTCGGAGTTGCCGAAAATAGGGGACCCTAATATAGTACCCTAAATAGTAGGATCCTTACTATAAAGATCGGAATACATGGTACCCGGAATTTTCGGAAACTCGAATTTAACTAGCTCTGATCCTTATTATAAGGACCCCAAAATAAGGAACCCCTACTTTTCGGAAACTCCCATTTAGCTCTGAACTCGAAGTAAAACCATCCCAAAAGGACTCGGACCAGAAGCTCCAAAGTGCCAGCGTCTACTGCCACCACGTGAGTGGTTGTCAAAAAAAATCAAGGTCCCTTTTTGGGTCCTGATTATAATACGGCACCTCATATTTAGGGTACCCACAAAGGGACCTTAATTTTGACAACCACCCATGTGCAGCCATGTCACGTTCAAGGCAGCGGCATAGGCAAGGACGTCAACCTGCGCTGCTGGGTTCAGGACTTAGGTTCAGCGGGTGTATGTGTGTCTGTGCGGGTGTGGGTGTGGGTGTGGGTGTGGGTGTGGGTGTGGGTGTGGGGGTGGGGGTGGGGGTGGGGGTGGGGGTGGGGGTGGGTGGGTGGGTGGGTTGTGTTCAGGGCTTCAGGTTGAGGTGCTTGAGCTGTTTAGGCTGTGGGGCGTTGAAGTTTACTGGTAAGGATCCTTTTTCGCTTACTTTAGGGCTAGGGTTCGGAGCCAGATAGGGGTTTAGGGTTTAGGGTTCAGGGATCATTGAGTGGGTTGCTTATGGTTATTCTTGTTGCTGCTTTAGTTTTTACTGATGCTATTCTTGTTCTGATTCATATATTCCTCCGCAAACTAAATATTGTCATTAGTGTCGTTATTGCTGCTATAAGCATTGGTACCATTGCTTCTGTCAGTGCTACCCGGGTTACCATGATCCCCGGGTTACCATGACGAAGGCAGACATGCAATTAGACCGAGACCCACCGCGATTGAATGGGTCATGTCATGTTGATGACAGCCTACGGTCTTCCTTCACAGCATCGCGTAGTTTCGCTCTTGCAATCCTATCATGCTGTATCAACCCTACACCCTAAACACTAAACCGCGTTCTTTGGGATTCTCCAAGCCCGGATAGTGCTGAGGCTCTAGCCTCGAGATTGGCGGCGGACGCATCGGAGAGAAGCGAGAGCGAAGTCCTGAAAGCTTGATTTCTTATGATTATTGTATAATGGGCCCCAAACCCCTATTCTATTTAAGGCGTATAGAATATTCTACTATACCACTATTACTGGGTCCTTCCTGAGAGCAACTCTCATATTGCCAAAAGCAAGTGCTAGACCCTACCTGGACCTGCCGTTCGTACTATTGACACCGAAAGAGCAGAGGCCATAATCCTCAACCGAGCTCAGGGAAGTGTGAGGCGTACTGATGTGTGTACATTTACAATTAACATATCGTTTGTCTACGTATGTCCCGGGCCCTATCCAACCCATCTACTAGGCACTCAGCTTAAGTCGACCCATGTTGTGTGAAGTCGGCCCTCCCCAAGCTCACGCCCCGATTCGTGCGAAGTCGACCCATCCGCGAAAAGTCGACCCACAGACTGCGATCCGCAACTGCACGCCGGTTTCGAACGAGCACACCCCGACATGTCAAATCTGCGCGTGGCACGAGACTCTTCGCACAAAGTGAAGCAAACGTGCACTGAAACGAACGAGAACTGCAAGTGCACGCCCCGTTCTAGTGGGAGCTATCCAAGCCTCGAAACGAGCGGAAACTGCATGTACACGCTGGGTTTCAACGAGCTTTGTCGGATCATGGTGGCAAACCGCGCCCTAACTATTGGTTGCAACCTTCGGGGATGCACAGGTTGGGGCTCACGACTGACGGTGTGTAAACTACTCCCAAGCGCTACAGTCCGACCCTGAAGACTAAAGCATTTGCCATATTCCCTTGTAGAAAACTTATTCAACTCTGCATGTCTCTCTAGAACCTATTCAACCCTGTATTTCCCTAGCAAACCTATTCAATTCTGTATTTCTCTAAAAACCTACTCAACCCTGTATTTCGCTAGACAACCTATGCAGCCCTGTATCTCCCTAGAAAGCCTAAACAACTTCACTTTCAATAGTAAAACCTGTTCGGAACACCCGAGAGGTTACTACATCTGGCGTTCCCGAAGTAGACGCTCGATTTCACAAGCATGCCCACGAGACACACATCAGTCACAGCAGTGTCCGCATAACACATACAAGCCAGCCACTCCCCATGTAGACGCTCGATTTCGCAAGCGCAGGCAAAAGACACACAGCAGTGGCGTAACATGGCATTTCAGCATGTCCAAACCAGCCATTCCCAGTCTCCGAGTTGCATGAGCTCACTTGTCAGGATATGTCGCGGACTCGGGGTTTCTCAAGCAGTTCTCAATGCCATCTAGAGTACAGTTTCTTCCCGATTCTGCATGTGAACCCCAGTGTGGACACTGTTTCACGATACAGGCATTGCGTGGGTGCGCTGAGGGGAGAGTTGTTCATTCCCGACCAAACAATGTGATCGAGACTCCTTTTCGATAGCAACAGCTGATACAAGAAAATGTCTCATGAAACCAGCACTGCTATTCCGCACCACTAGCATGGCAAAACCAGCCGGCGCAAGACGACTTTTGAGAAACACATCCATGCATATCTGGAGTAGGGCTTGGCGGTTTAGTTGGGTTTTCGATGTCGCCACACAAGTGGATCCAATGCTTTACTTCGGAATCCCCATGTGCTTGCCTGGGTGAGATGACTTCCAACTACATGTTCTTACAAGCTTGTATGCCGAATCCCCATGTTGCACGCTCGCGCAAGACGATTTTTGAGAAACACATCCAAGCATATCTGGAGTAGGGCTTGGCGGTTTAGTTGGGTTTTCAATGTCGCCACACAAGTGGCTCCAATGCTTTACTTCGGAATCCCCATGTGCTTGCCTGGGTGAGATGACTTCCAACTACATGTTCTTACGATCCTGTATGCCGAATCCCCATGTGCACGCCCGCGCGAGACGACTTTACACAAGATGGGACGACTTAAGCCTACCACCCTGTACTAATCTATCGAATCTGGTCATATTACATCTACCTGCAGATACGCACAGAGAGGTCGAGATATGGTGACAGAGACAGAGACCCGAACTAGCATAGAGTCTTGAAATCCTGAAAGGGGGCCCAAACACCCCCAAGTTAAAGAAACGCCCGATAACTAGGTGGGGCTTTTGAAAAATATTAGTAAATAAGATCCTCTTAAGCCCCATAAGGGGAAACATAAAATGTCCCAAAGCCCTACCTAGATAAACTAAGGTCCTTAAACATAACAAAGCACAGGAAAACTATCAAGATCGTGTAACAAAGCATCGATATCACCGCCACCTGTATACAGGAACCAAAGTCAACTCCCAAAATCCTGAGCCGAAACCCGGTTACGGTCGAAGCCAAAAAGTTGGAAACCCCATTGCCTCAATCCTTAAGAGTCATGTATAGGGAATCCCACCACTATTTGGCCTTAATCCGGTTTCCAACTTTATGGGGTTTACTGTGCACCTCAATGATCCCCGGCATTTGTTGCCGTGGCTCGGCCAGTGGCGACTGCTGGCAGCTAAGGCGCCACTGAAAGACAGCAGGTCGCCTGCGGCACTTTGTGTCTTGTAATACAGGGTTTAGGGTGTAGGGGTTGAGAGTTTAGGGTTTGGGGGGTTTAGGGGTTAGGGTTTAGGGGTTTGGGGTTTAGGGGTAGGGGTTTAGGGGTTTAGGGGTTTGGGGCTTTAGGGGTTTAGGATTTCAATAATGTAGACCCCTGAGTACTACAACCCGATGTATTTCAGGATCCCTGGTAAATACGATCCACGAGTCTGCGTGCGGGCTTGCATTGGGGTTTATTGTTGGGTCAGGGCCTGCGTGTTGTTGCTTTGGTCATAACCGTAATTACTCAGTCCCATGATCCTTTAAGGTGCAGTGTTTGGGAATGTGGTGGGGGTTTCCGAAAATGGGGGACCCTAATATAGTACCCTAAATAATAGGATCCTTATTATAAGGAACCCCAAAATAGGTACCCCTAATTTTCGGAAACTCCCTGGCAAAGGAAAGACCTCTCTGCCAGTGATGTGGCACGCGGGTCGCTTGGAATTGCTACTGTGCCTGCGTCGCACACTGCGCACCTGCTACATCCAAGACTTAGGCAGCAGATACAGCTGCACACCGCTGTCAGGACTGCAATTTCACCCCTGTCCCTCGACCAAAAACCCGAACCGCTAAACAATAAAGCCTAATCCTGAGTATTTAACTAACCAGGGAGAAAAAAGTATAAACTTCTATTTCATAATGGTTCCTTCAAGAAAAAGCAGTAAAGTATGGTACTCCAAAGCCCAGAATCCCTTAACCCTACAACTGAGGTGTCCTTTAAGGCCTTTGAAAATTATCTACTATTATGATTCCCTTCCAAATGGCCTTTAATTAAGCCCTTTGAAAATTATCAACTATCATGATTCTCTACAAAGTCTTAGGGGGAAATCAAAAAAGATCCCAAAGGACCACCCAGATAAACCCGCCTTCGAGGCCATGCACGGCCAGCCCGCGTAGCAAGGCCACAGCTCCCGGCCAGTGAGCCGCTCGCCTTGGGCCAGAGCTTCTAGTTCATGGTTGGGGTAATATTTTAAAGTGTTGCATGTTAAAGGGTACTTAAAACCCAATAAGGAATACAAACTGTTTTTTTTCAAGTATTAAACAAACAGATTGATTCCTTATTGGGTTTTAAGTACCCATAAACATGTAAAATGCTCCCCGACTATGGCAAAGGCTTCGTGGATTTGCAGGCACATGGTCCCATCGGCAAGGACCCTAAAATGTCAGTTTAGGGCTTACGGCTTAATACGCCCACCCCTTGGATCCCGTGACGGAAAAACGGGAAAAGGTAAGGTCAACTCCTCAGCATTGTCAACTATCACTGGCACGCACCTTAACTTAAGCACAGGGCAGTCTAGCTCTGCCACCATATGGCCTGTAGAACCGTGAATAAATAGAACGAGGGCCCGGGATCACTGAACCCTTCCCAAACTGCCGCCGAAGCACTGGCACGCACTGATGCAAGCATTGTGAGTGACCAAGCTGCTTTCCAACGAGTCTGCCTGTACGGCAAGAGGGCCCAGAAAAATGGCCTGTAACTACTTGCATGTATGTATGCATGCATGGATGAATGCATGTATGCAGCTGGGTAAGCGTAAGTATGTACTGTGAGAACATCTTAAGTTGCCGAGTTCATAAGCCCCAAAAACTGAACACTTTGGGATTTATAGTGGGTATTATTATCCCAGAAAGTGTAAAGTGTATACCCTCAGCTACTAAGGGGCCCGCACCCCGTAATAGTGGTATGATAGGAATATAGTCGGGCCCTAATATAATCCTTATAGTCACTATTTCAGGGTGGGGGCAGCTTCTAGCTTCTACTGTAAAGACATGCGAGAGTCCCACGGCACATCCGGGGGGAGGGCTGGGAGCGAAGGCTTGGGGCACAGCACCAAGGGCTGAGGAGCCCAGGGTTGAGGTGGCTTTAACAACAGTTAAGGGTTTAGGGTTTAGGGCTTAGGGTTTAGGGTTTAGGGTTTAGGGTTTAGGGCTTAGGGCTTAGGGTTTAGGGCTTGGGGTTTAGGGTTTAGGGTTTAGGGTTTAGGGTTTAGGGCTTAGGGTTTAGGGTTTTGGACTTAGGGTTTAGGGTTTTAGGGCTTAGGGTTTACAGGGTTTAGGGCTTCGGAATAGCTCATAGTGATACCTACGAGCTGTACTGCGGTAATCAACAATGCAAAATCCCTTGAACCAATCAGATTCCCTCAGAACAGCCATGTAACAATGGGAAATGTCTACTACGTTAACCAATACGAGTACCAATGCCGCCCCTAAATCCCCTGAACTACCTCGGCGAGTTCATCATTGTCTTTGCATCCAGGATCCCACAACCGCCACAACCCTTGGACCAGGCAACAGCACAAATCACAAGTTCAAGATGACGACAATCACTGGGAAGCCATCATAGAGATAAACAAGACATGTCAAGTCCTGTGCAAATTACGGTAGTGAAGGTCTGGGTGGTTGTCAAGATTATGGTTCCTTTTTGGGTCCTTATTATAATGCGGCACCGAATATTTAGGGTACCCAAAAAAAGGGACCCTAATTTTGACACCTACGCAGCTGCAGCTTACACTTCCTTGTGGCCGAGCAGCTGTCTTCCTGTCAAGCAAAACCGAAAGCTCCTAAAACCCTAAGCTCCTAAACCCTAAGCTCCTAAACCCTAAGCTCCTAAACCCTAAGCTCCTAAACCCGAAGCTCCTAAACCCGAAGCTCCTAAAACCCCTAAGCTCCTAAACCCTAAGCTCCTAAACCCTAAGCTCCTAAACCCTAAGCTCCTAGATCCTTACCATCCCCCCCAAAATCCTACCCTAAACCCTAAAACCGTAAGCTCCTAGATCCTTAACATCCGCAAAAACCCTAAATCCACAACCGTTTTTGACCTGGAAACCTTAAGGGTCATTAAATCATCCAAAAACCCCAAAACAAGAACACAACCCTAAACACGAATTTCTGAACGCTAAGCCCTAAACCCCGATTTCATAAACCCTAAACGCGAATTCCTAAACCATAAACCCTAAACCCCGATTTCATAAACCCTAAACCCGAATTCCTGAACCATAAACCCTAAACCCCGATTTCATAAACCCTAAACCCGAATTCCTAAACCCAAAACCCCAAACCCCTACACTGAATTCCGAAACCCGAATTCCTAAACCCACAACCCAAAAACCCTACGCTGAATTCCGAAACCCAAAAAAACCAAAAACCCTACACTGAATTCCGAAACCCCTGCAACAGCCCGACGATCGCCCTGGGCCTGGCAGCCCTGGAGAAGTGCCAGAGCAGCCTGGCGCGTGGGCTTTTTTTGCTTTTTGAGTTTAGGGTTTCGGTTTAGGGTTTAGGCTGTAGGCTTTAGGGCTTTAGGACTTAGGATTTAGGGTTTAGGGGTTTAGGGTTTACGGGTTTGGGGTTTGGGGGTTTCGGGTATAGGATTCAGGATTCTTTTTTGAGCTCCTTTTTTCCGCCTTTCATGCTATCTGATCAACGGCAAGGACTTAGCCTAAACCCTAGGGGTGGAAAAGGGGACGGTATGTTCTGCAACTATTGTGTACTCCACAGGGAGTACGGTTCCTTCATAGCCAGAAAAAGCTTGTGGGGTGCAGTATACGGATCATGAGGAAGGCTTCTACTGCTTGTTCAAGTATAAGGCGAACACGGCCCCTGTAGAGCTTGCTGCGGTTTGGCCACGTTAGTAAATGGGTGGTTGTCAAAATTAGGGTCCCTTTTGGGTCCTTATTGTAATACGGCACCTATTATTTAGGGTACCCAAAAAGGGACCATGATTTTGACAACCAGACAAGTAGCTATAAGCCTCAAGTGGTGTTATGAGTTCTATGATCGGCGGTGGTTACCCTACGTGAGACTCCACTTCTAGACTCGTGATCCCGTGCGCGGGCTTGGAAGTTTGGAGCTCCGTGTTCCATGGAAGATCGTCCCAGACGTTGGCTTCCCCGACTTCCTAGGATATACCCTGTGGCTCTACACCGGAAAGCCCTGAAGTGGATTGTTTATGTAGGTCCACAATGAGACGTATTCCTTAGTTAAGGGGTTTCGGAGTCTCTGGGCCCAAAGAGCCTGCCAAAGATGTCCTTCAGCGCACGCACTGGCTGCAGCGTTGCAGGTGATGATGCTGAGACGTAGTGCCTCCGCTTCGGGCTTTGGGGCTTAGGGTTTAGGGTCCGGCAGGCTCAAGCACCGGTTTTGGGTTTAATTAGGGGTTTGGGGGTTTAGGGTTTAGGGTATGCTCATGCTCGTAGCTAATTACTTGTGATGGGCTGAGGAGAAAGTAGCGGCCATGCTCGTACGTTTAGCAAGGAGAAGTAATGGCCATGCTCGTATGCATGACCATGCCGACGACTGTCAACATGCGTAGTGACTGTCTTATTATGTATGTCTTATGTACTTATCTGCTAGCTTCTCTTTGTACAAGTGTAGAGTGAAGTGATAACAAGGATTGCGGACCTTGTGCGTAGAAGTCCATCTGCCCATCTGCGCATGCAGAGACAGACCGACAGACACCCCGACAAACAGACAGACCGACGGATAGACAAACCGACAAACAGACACACAGACCCATGGCCAGCCAGACAGACAAAAGAACATTCTCATCTGTGCACATGGCCTGTCCTGACAGAGGTAATCTGCAAAAGCTGCTGCACATGAGAACCCCTCTTCCCACTAGGACAACATGCTTTTTTCCCCCCTGAGAAGCAATACAAAACAACCATGCTAATAATAGGGTTTAGGGCCTAGGATTTTAGAGGTTCAGGATCTAAGGTGTCGGATTTAGGCGTCTCGGGTTTAGGGTTCCTATAGACTCTCGACGGTTCTGATGAGTTGCGACAAAACACAACGATCAATCCGCAACAGCAGCGAACTCCCAAAAAGCTCAACAACGATCTGCAGTAGGCTGTACCCGTCTGCCCATGTGTTCAGCCTCAGGCTTTGGGGTTGAGAGCTTAAAGTTTAGGGTTTAGTGCTTAGGGTTTAGATGTCGGGGTTCGGGCGCCTGCCGCGGAAGCTCAGCGAACAAAGCCAAGGCAGCCTGACGTGACGATGTCACAAAGTCGATGCGAGCTTGCTCTAGACTGGAAGCCCTACATGAAACCCTGTAAGACCCCAACCGCTGCCCTCCCCTAAACCCTAAACCCTAAACCCTAAATCCTAAACCCTAAACCCTAATTCAAACCCCACGAAGGGACCTGAAATTAGAACCAGACATGATGCCGCCGGTGACTCGTGAGACCCTTAATCCTTCGCACCAACATGAAGCCCTGAGATCTCAAGGGTTCAGCGACCCTAGACCCCAAAACCCCTAAACCCTGAACCCTAAACCCCTAAACCCTAAACCCCTGAATCCTAAACTCCTAAACCCTATAAACCCCTGAATCCTAAACCCCTAAACCCTATAAACCCCTAAACCCTATAAACTCCTAAACCCTATAAACCCCTAAACCCTATAAACCCTAAACCCCTAAACCCTAAACTCCTAAACCCCCTAAACCCCTAAACCCTAAACCCCTAAACCCCTAAACCCTAAACCCCTAAACCCTAAACCCCTGAATCCTAAACCCCTAAACTCTATAAACCCCTAAACCCCTAAACTCTATAAACCCCTAAACCCCTAAACTCTATAAACTCCTACACCCCTAAACCCCTAAACCCTATAAACCCCTAAACCCCTAAACCGTTTCGGGCCTCCGGCCCAACGAAGGAGCTCAGATTCAACGGAACGAAAGGGCCGGTCAGAGCTTCGGGGCTCAGAAAGCCCTTCTTTCTTGAGATATCTGAACAGTATAAGGTTTGAGTTTAGGGTTTTTAGGGTTTAAGGTTTAGGGTTTAGGGTTTAAGTTTTAGGGTTTAGGATTTAAGGTTTAGGGTTTAAGGTTTAGGGTTTAGGGCTTAGGGCTCAGGGTTTAGGGAACGTGCGTCCCTTTGCTGCCTCCCAGCGGTCTGCCCCTTCGCAGGCACTGAGGGCAGCATTGTACCTCAGCGATGATTGCATTTGGGGGGTAATACTGTAGGGCTCAGAATTTCATTTAAGGGCTGGTTGCATGCCTTGCTTAAAGGATCATGGGACTTAGTAATTATTAGGGTTATTATGAAGGCAACTATACTGATAACCCCGATTAAGGTACTTATAGCCATACTTACTAAGTCCCATGATCCTCCAAGTGGATGGAGGCTTAGAGGGGCCCGGTACGAGGCCGTACTCTTCAGCACATGCGACGGTGTGCCCGATGATCCCGGGTTTGCAGGACAGACATCTGCGTGGTTGTCAAAATTAGGGTCCCTTTCTTTATACGGCAACTAATATTTAGGGTACCCAAAAAGGGGCCCTAATTTTGACAACCACCCATCTCAATAGCTTGGGAAATTGCGGAATTTCGCAGAAGCAAGCTACGGAACACGACTCAAAGAACGCTAACGGCCAGAATGCAAAACTGCTAAATCCACAACAAACCCTGAAACCTACAATGAACCCTAAGCGCTAAAACCTATCTGTAGCAGGTTCGTAGCCAGCCGCAGATAAGAATTCATCGAATGAATTATCACTTCTCTTCGTTGATGGTAGTTACCAACAAATCACCAGAAGAGCATCATCAAGTCATGGCCTGCCTCACAACTCATCATGTTGTTCATCATGTTGCCTTTCTCTCCACGCCCGCCCCAGCCCAACTCCCCTCCCCAAGAAACAAACCCTAGGCCCAAAACCCGAAACCCTGAACGCTGAACCCTAACTCCTGAACCCCTAAACCCCTAAACCTTAAACCCTTTGCGATGGATTTCTTGATGATTTCCTCGGACATCCAAAGAAAGCTGCTCAAAGGCTTTCCCCAAACACTCTCGAAGGGCCCGCCACACAAAGGCCAGTGCGATGATGCTTTCATGCTTTTTCTTTTCGTGATTGCGTGATGATTTTGAAGATTCTTGGAAGAGTCTGGAAACATGATGACGAAGGACGATGATGAGATGATGATATGACATAGCAAAGATGACAATGATGCTTCTTTGATCAACTAATTCGCGCAGGCTATGCCAGTCTGAGTCTGTGCACGCAAGACTCTTACAACCCTGTCTTCCCTACCTCGGACCTCAAACCTGCGGCCGAGTTATGAGCCTAAGCCGGATAAACCCTGTAAACACACGAAGTCCTGAACCCTATGAACCTGATAGGCCCTACGCGCCCTTACTAAAGCAAAAACTCAATCCTAAACCCTATATATACATCCTGTCAGTCCTCGCCCCTAAACCGTAAATCTTAGGCCGAAGATCGCCACGGTGGAGAGGGGTCCCCTCGCCGCCGCCACGTTGCGGAGGAGGTGCAGGGCACGCTGCCACTGACCTCGAGTTGGGCAGGCTGGGAGTTTGGGGGCCATGGGCAACGTAGGGACCTTAATAATTCGAACAGGTTTCTGGGGCTTCCTTATTGGAATTATATACCCGCAAACCCCATTCTAATCATTAAGGCCCCCATATTCAGATTTCAATGTTAGGGCTGATTGAGTTTAGTGTTTGCGGGGGTCGACAGGCCTTGCGGTTTAGGGGTGTTAAGGTTTAAGGGGTCATATGTGGGGTTACAAGTTCGCAGATGTGGATGATATCTGCATTTCCCCTGCTTAAGGCCCCTCTTACCTCTACCGAAACATATGGACCTCCAAGAGCGAGCTGTGGGCTCTGCAGTCATAATATGTGAACACATCCTTGTGTATGAACATGCGGATGGGCACCAGCATTAGCAATAGGCGAGTAGCATATTAGGCGAGCCAATATACACCTATCTACCTACCTATCTATCGGCCTTTCATATTTATCCATCTGTCTATCTGTTTCTTCATTTGTCTATCTTTATATGTAACCAGTATATGAAACGAGTATACAATCAGCCCCTCCTATATGGCCTCTCCTGTCCCAGCTATAATGCGTTGGTGCAGGGTCATCCACGGCTTGAGGCTTAGACCAAGGCTTATGTCGAACCTCAAACTTAAATGGCGTCTCCGGAGTTTACGGCTCAAGGTTTCCCAACTGCTTAGGCCGCAGCTTCAGAAGCAAGCATAAAGTCCAAAATCTGAAACCCGAAACCTCAAACCCCCAAATTCTGAACCCCATAGCCTCAACCCCAAACCTCAAACCCCCAAAACACCTCAAACCCTAAAGTCCAAAACCGCTAGACTCCCAGACCCTCAATGATCCCTGCAGTCGGCTTTGAAAGCAAACCCAAAGGCATCCAGGGCACGGCCCTTGCCAAGAGCATCCTGCACAGTTAACCGGTTTGGGGTTTAAGGTTCTGGCTTTACGGTTTTTGGTCTCTCTTATAAAGTGCATCGGACTTTTGATGTCTCGCCAGTCCGGCTGCTTCAGGCGTGCACTGCTTGTTGCGGCTTTGCGTTTTTTTGGCTTGGGGGTTAAGGGGTTTAGGGGTTAGGATCTAGGGTTGGGAGTTTAGGGTTTGGGGTTTGGAGTTTTGGGCTTAAGGTTCAGAAAGGGGAGTTCTTGAAGGTCTTGGGTTTAGGGTTCTCGGGGTTTTGGTAGTTTTTCAGAGGAACATACAAAGGCATTGGAGTAGCCGCAATAAGCTCGCTCAATGGATCGCACCAAAACAAGCCCTCCTGAATAGCCTCAGCCCCTCAAACACGAAACCGAACTCTTTATCCCTAAACCCTATAGACTCTCACAAGTTGAATCCTAAACCCTGAAACCTGAACCCTAAATCCTAAACTCCAAATCCTAAACCCAAAATCCTAAACCCAAGCATCCTAAACCCCCAAATCCTGAACCCTAACCCTCCCCCACCCCCTGCCGCGCCAGCGCGGCACCGTGCGTGGCGGCGGACGGCCGGAGTTGCCGGCCAGGGAAAGAGGCCCACATGTCAAGGGCAACCTTAAAGAAAGGGGCCCAAATAATTCGAACATGGCTTTGGGGTTTGGGGCTTAGGGTTTAGGGTTTAGGGCTTAGGGGTTTAGGGTTTGAGGGTTTAGGGTTTAGGGGTTTAGGAGTAAAAGTGTTCTCATGTCTCTTACTATAGGGGCCTTAATAATTCAAACGGGGTTCCATTAAAAGGGTCTACAAGAGTTACTTTTTAGGATCTATAAGGGGTACTATAATGTAGGGGCCCAAATAATTACCTGTACTATACTGGGGGCTCCTTATTATAGTCATAGTAGAATGGGCCCCAAAACCCTTTTCTGATTATTGATGCCACTATATTACTTGCCGGAGGTTTGTCTTGAAAGGCCTTTCATGTTTCGAGTTTAGGGCTTGTTGTGAAAGGCCTTTAATGTTTAATGTTTCGTTTTGTAATGGCAGGGTCAAGCGTTTCATGGTTTAGGGCTTAATGAGCTTATCATTTTGGGTCATATCAAGCATTTACCGGAGGATCCTTAGTGTAAGTTGTTACTCGTAACATTTCTGAATACAAGGGTTTTACAGCGTAAGCTCAGGACCATGTGAGGCTCGTAGGACAAAGCCTGAAAGTCGGAATATGTGTTGAAGAATGGTCAGTGCCGGGATACTCTACTTGGAGGATCATGGGACTTAGTCGGACTTAGCAAGTATGGTTATAAGTACCTTAATTGGGGTTATAAGTATAGTTACCTTAATAATAGCCGTATTACTAAGTCCCATGATCCTTTAAGTATGCTTTGCTCGAAGGGATGCCGCAGTTCCAGAAGATAAGGGTCCCGAACACAAACCTAAAAGGGTAAGGTTTAGGGTTTAGGGTTTAGGATTTAGGGTTTAGGGCAAATTTCCGACAGCTTTGGTATGTCTGTAACTTGCAGTATCAGGCAGTAATTACTTCTGCTGCGGCCCTAAACCCTAAACGCTACAATCCGCTACAACCTACAAGCCCCCAAAGGCGGTAAACACGAAACCCCCGAAGCCCTAAACCCCCCAAGCCCTAAACTCTAAATCGAATCGCCTGTTTGGTACCGGTTTTCGCAAAAGCCGGGTCGCCACCCACTGCACGCCCTGGGCCGATGCGGCAATCGCGGCATTCAGAGCCTCGGTGCGACCAATGACACCCCAACACCCGGTTTTTTGTCATCCTTATAGTAACCCATACAGTAACCCTAAACCGCCTAAGCCCAATGCATACACCTCCTGCTCGGTGCTGCCCAGTCGCCACCGCATCCAGGCCAACCTTTGCCGACGCCGCAGATTCCTAGCTCATGGTTGGGATAGGGTTAAGAAATCTAAATGTTTATTCCTTATTGGGCTTTAAGTACCCATAAAAATGTAAAATGCTACCGGGTTAAGAAATCTAAATGTTTATTCCTTGTTGGGTTTTAAGTACCCATAAGAATGTAAAATGTTACCCAACTAATAGACTATGAAATCTAAATGTTTATTGGGTTTTTAGTACCTATAAAAATTCAAACATGGTACAAAACTATGACAAAGATTCGAGTAGTGCCAAGGACACGTCCCAACGCTGGGCGGCCGCCTGGAGTCTCTACTTGGAGGATCATGGGACTTAGTAAGGTTCCTTAAAGAGGCTCCTTAAACGGATCTATTGGGTTCCTTAAAGGGATCTATAGGGTTTCGGGATTAGGGTCTACTTGGAGGATCATGGGACTTAGTAAGTATGGTTATAAGTACCATTATTGGGCTTATAAGTATAGTTACCTTAATAGTAACCGTACTTACTAAGTCCCACGATCCTTCAAGTAGGGTAAGCGTTTATGAAGATGTTGGCATGGATTGCGGCTTAGGGTTGCCAGAAAGGTTCTGCTAAGGGTTGCTATAGAGCCTATGCCGGTTTCTATAGCGGGATTCGGGGTTTAGGCGATTAGGGCTTGCCTCTGGGGCAGAGGCTAGGCTAGCATTTCAGGTGAGTTGAGGGTGCAGGGGTTGGAATTGTGTCGTGGGGTTTGGAGGTTAAGGACAGTTCGAAAGCTTGGATTAAGATGTGCAATGTCTGCCTACCCATGTAAAACCCTCAAAACATTATTTTTAGGACTTCATATACAGCTCAAGTAAAAACGGAAAGTACAAGTACAAGTTTGGGTACGACGTGAAAGTAGAACTTCCAGTACAGGTTCAAGTACAGTGTACAAGTTCAAGTACAGGTTCAAGTACAAGTTCAAGTACGTACAGTGGACAGGTTCAAGCACAGGTTCAAGTAGGGAATTTGGTGGGGGGATGAGGGAAAGGTAGGAGTCAGGTATAGGGGTTCAAGTCGGGGTTCAGGCAGGGCTTCCAGCAGGAGTCCGGCTCAAGTGGAGGGGGTGCTGGGGAAGAGGGCGGTGGGGGAGGCGGGGGAGAGAAACGTGCACGTTCCTTCGAGAAAGTACAGGTTCAAGTACAGGTTCGAGTACAGGTTCAAGTACAGGTTCAAGTACAGGTTCAAGTAGAGGTTCAAGTACAGGTACAGGTACAGGTTCAAATACGGGAACCTGTGCCTGTACTTCCTTTTGGGGAAGTACAAGGAGTAGGCCCACGGCACGTCTTAAAGCTTGGAGATGAAAACTCAGCCTTGAGGATAACACGAGATCAAGCAGATTTCCTCCGAATTTGCCAAAGCGCAATGTCGAAATGCTGCGGCGGTATGAAAAAAGAAAAATACTGTGTCGCCATGCGCCGACACCGCATAATCTACGGCCCGCATCAATCCACAACGGAGGTTGTGGTACAGTGACGACCATGACTAGTCCCCACTGGCACCCCAACATTCCTTGCCGTGTTTAGGGTTCAGGGTTTAGGGTTTAGGGTTTAGGGTGGTTTAGGGTTTAGGGTTTAGTACTTCGAGGATGACGACATGAATTGCCACTTGAGATGTACAGTGCTGCTGGAGCGTCCTTCTCTTCAACAACAAACGTCAAGTAGCAACATTTCTTGGAGTTATGCCCGACTAGATAATCCTCTACATCGTTTAAACCCCAAAGGTTACCTACTCAGCACCTGAGTTCTGGTCCGAGGCACGCAAGCACCCATGGCCTGAATAGGAGGGTGTTCTCAAAAGCATCTTCGCTTCGCTTCGCAGTTCGGATTAAGGTTGCAGGGCTCAGGCTTCGGGGTTTAGGGTTTGGGGCTTCTTTAGGGTTTAGGGTTTAGGGGTATAGGGGTACTTTTTTTCGAGGCTTCAGGGGAGGTGAAACTGCACGCCGTTCCCTCAGATCTTCGATCTTCAAAGCACCGACGAGCGGCGAAATATGTGGCATCGTGAGTTCTGCCGGCTTCGGGTTGAGGATTCAGGGCGTATAGTAGAAGCCAGAAAGCTGGAAGATCATTATCGTAACCCCTTTAAGGTAAATTACAGGGGATCCTACCATTAATCCATATTCCATTTTCTGGAGTTCCCTTTAGTTCGGGCGGGCAGTAGCTAACAGCTGAAACTAGGATATGGCCATTGCCTGCGGGTGTGTGCGAGCTTGCGCAATTAAAACATAAACCGTGCGCATCGAATGCCCACAGAATGCACCTACAGACTGGAATGGACTCGTCCTCAGCAAAACTCGTAAGTCCGATGAGAAGACCCAGCAGTGCTCAGAACCAGTTGCTCGAGCTTGAACAGAGCATACCACAAGCTCTCGAAACCGTACACCCAAAGAGCGTTTAATCCCTAAATCCCTAACTGCAAGCTGCAGGTCCTAGAACCCGTAATGTCTACATTAGCCACAAAGGCTGGAACCGCACAAGTGCTTCAAGCCGGGCTGCGGCGGTGCAGGTTGTCACATCTTCTGGCGTGCCGAGCAAAGACAGCGCCGCCTGCCACTGCGCGCCTCCAGCATGTGGCTCGGTGTTTGCACTTGGAGGATCATGGGACTTCGTAATAAGTATGGTTATAAGTACCTTACCTTAAACTGGGGTTGTAAGTATAGCTACCTTAATAATAACTCATCATCACTAAGTCCCAGAATCCTTTAAGTAGGTACTAAGTAGGTGTGTGAGGTTGAAGCTCTTAACCCACAGAAAGATTCAGCACGAGTCCAGCGTGGCAGAGCCGGAAGCTCTTAACACTGCACAGAAACCAGAAACCTAGCTGGATCAGCAGCGTGCATACGTCAAACAAGATCTTTTCGACTAGCCCTGTAAAGTCTAAGAAGATACTACGGTGGCCTTGCTGCTCTTGGCAGAGCAGCGTCTTCACACCTCCATGGCAGAGCCTCAAGTACAAAACCCTATATAATCCCTAGACCTCACAGTTGCCACAGTTGCCTTGCTCGCACGCCTGCAGCGCAGCACCCATCAGCTGCTGCCTAGCCGGGGAACATCCAGGCCGACTCAGAACAGAACAGCACAAAACCTTTTACAGAAACCATTCTAGCTTATCAGCCCAAGAATGCCCAGACTAGACCCTACGAGCCTGTAAGCCATAGAAGCCGACCAAACCCTTATAGACCCTCGAAGCCCTGCAACCACCATAACCCCTACAATCCCCGTAAAGCAAATATGCCCTGTAAACCCTACAAGCCCTACAAACCGGGCCCTGGAAACTCTATAAACCCTCCAACGCGGGCAAATCCCATAAACCCTATAAGCACTTCTACAAACCGTACGAACCCTCCAAGCCCTACGAACCTATGCACAAACCCTAAAATCCCTATAAGCCCTATAAAAACCTTAACATCCCTATAAGCCCTACAAAAACCTAAAAATCCCTAAAATAAGCCCTATGAACCCTCCAAGCCCTATAGGGCCTCTAGGCCCTGCAAATCCTATTAAACCTATTACTTTTTTTTTATTAGCCCCCGAAGCCACATGGGTGGTTGTCAAAACTAGGGTCCCTTTTTGGGTCCCTATTACAATACGGCACCTATTATCTAGGCTATTTAAAGAGGGTCCCTAATTTTGACAACCACCCATATAAACTCCCAAGTCTCTATAAGCCCTATAAGCCTGAAAACCCTAAACAAACTGCACAAACGCTAAAGAGCCCCATTGTCAAGTCTGCAACCTGCTATAAGATTGGGGCCTTAATAGCTACCCATACTCTTCTGATGGTTCCTTATTACAACTATATATAGACCTATATGTAGTATAATGGGCCCCAAAACCCTTGCTAACTAGTTATTACTTGAAGGCTCATGGGACTTAGTAAGTAAGGTTATAAGTAGGTTAGGGGACTTATGACCCCAATTATAACCTACTTACTAAGTCCCATGATCCTTTAAGTAGGGCCCCTACATTCATCGAAGCCCTTCTCCCCACTCTGCGCTTTGCGGCGCCTTTGGCCTGGCACATCTTCAAAAGCACCTGGAAGGGTGCAGGGATTTACTTTAGGACTTAGGGATCTTAAAGCTGAGAGGTTTCAGGGTTTGGGGCTTTTAGGGTTTAGGGATCTGAAGGCTGAAGGGTGCTAGGGTGCGGCTTAGGGCTTTTGGGGTTCAGGGTTTAGGGTTCCCAGCCGTGTAGTTGTCAAAATTATGGCCCTTTTGGGCACCCTAAATAATAGGTGCCGTATTATAATAGGGACCCAAAAAGGGACCGTAATTTTGACAACCACCCAGCTGGGTGAACAGTAGAGCTGACAAGCGGAAAGGAAACGGAGTACGAGGAGCTGGGTTCAGAGCTTAGGTTGTTCAGGGTTTAGGATTCTAGCATTTTAGGATTTAGGATTTTAAGACTTAGGATTCTAAGATTTAGGATTCTAAGATTTAGGATTTTTGGATTTAGGATTTTAGGATTTAGGGGTTTAGGGTTTAGGGTTAGCGTTCAGAGCTTAGGTTTCGGGTTTAGGGGCCTTAGTAGCTAGAACAGGGTTCGTTTAAGTGTTCCTTAAAGGGCTCTAGAAGGGATCTATAATAGGGGTCTATGATATAGGGGCCTTAGTAGTTGGAATAGGGTTTTGGGGCATATTGGTGCTGGCATCAGCAGGAGTTGCCACAGTATTGAGTAGTATCGTCTTATCAATGGTAGGAACAAAATCGAGGGCGATTTTCAAAACTATAAGAACGGCAATCATAGCCATGCTTGCATGCAAACTGCGACGCCGCCATCGCAACAAGTATGAGAACCATGGAAGCAGCAGGAACACCTGGATTTGTCCAAGAACATATGCAATTAGGACCCCAAAAATATGCCCGGGCCCAGTTCAACAAACTGCTGTATCAAATCCATGGTAGGCAGACACTAACTGCTTGAAACTACATCAGTTGATTTTAGATAAGGTTGTCAGTACCTTGATATAGAATAGAAACCTAGCCGTACCTACATTGTTTTCCACCGTGCTGTTAGTTCGTGGCTGGTCACGTTCCTGCTAACAGCTCTTCCGAATTTTGACGCTGTCAAGGCACACAATGCCAGCTGCCAGCACATGGCAGCAGACAGCGATGCGAGAACCTGCTTCGGATGCAAGGCCGCGACGCCGGAATGAAATACTTAAAGGGGACTGAATAATTAGAATAGAGTTTCGGAGCCCATTGTACCATAATTATAATAAGGGACCCCCACAATAGTGTAGGTAATTGTTTGGGTCCCTGTAAGAAGTAAGGACTGCGTACCTACCTGGGTTTGGGTTTGAGCTTGCAAGGAAAACGCGGCAGGAAAGCGCGAGTCCAAATGCGACGCTTGGGCCATAAACCCTACACCCCTAGCCCAAAAGCCAAAGCCCTATACCCCAAACCCCTAAGCCCTGAAAACCCTAACCCTTAAACCCGAAGCCCTACACAAGGACGACTCCAGCATCTCCTCGAGTTCCAATGCCCAGAATTTCGAGCTTGCACAGGCCACGTTGTGCGATAGCACTTGCATGGGGCTCTTGATGGCACGAGCCCGCTCGGCATGGAACTTCCACGAGGCTTTGCCAATTGAAAGAATACAATCTTGGATGCAAAGGTTCAGTTCGGTGATGGCTTGTACAGCGAGCCTCCACGACCCTCTTTTGCTTCAGTTCCTGCAGTTCTTTCGCCTGCCGGGCAACCCCACAGCATCGCAAACTCCAAAGCGTGAAACTCTGAATCGGCTCAATAAACCTCGTCAAGCGGAATGGCGAGTCGAGCGACACCTCTCCTCTCAGGCGCAGCAAGAGCTTCCAGCAACGGCGACAGTGTTGCGGCTTAAGTACTTAGGGAACCCGAAAACCCCTCGATCAAGGAATAGTGCATTGTAAACTTTAAAGGGATCTTGAGCACGGTTTGAGGTTTGTTCCTTAGCCCCGGCTTTTCTGGGCAATCAAACAAATTACGAGCTAGGGGCCCTGATGCCATCGATTTGTTACATGGTGGGTTTAGGGTTCAGGGTTTTCGGGTCTGAGGGTTTAGGGTATTCGGGCAACAATGGGGGACAATAGGGTCGCGTCTATCAGCTCACCCAAAATAATAAGATAAGTGCGGAACCCCAAGCCCCAAAGCTTAAGCCCTGCACTGATCCCCGACTTGTCCAGTGCTCAGGGCAACCAAAGGGGATTTATAGGGCTTATAGTTTATAATAAAAACTGCCCCCAGAAAGGCTACTGCATACCTTACCTTTGTTAGTAGGGAATGGAGGTAGTAGTAGTAGTAGTAGTAGTAGTAGTAGTAGTAGTAGCAGCAGTAGTAGTAGTAGTAGCAGTAGTGGTGGTGGTAGTAGTAGTAGTAGTAGTAGTAGTAGTAGTAGTAGTAGTAGTAGTAGTAGTAGTAGTAGTAGTAGTAGTAGTAGTAGTAGTAGTAGTAGTAGTAGTAGTAGTAGTAGTAGTAGTAGTAGTAGTAGTAGTAGTAGTTATTATACTAGTACCCCATTCCTCCCTTCCCTACCAACCAAAGGTAAGTAAAGGCTGCTTACTAGACTACTAAAAAATCGCCGGCAGGTCGCTGCGTTCGAGGTGATTCGATTGCCTCGGAGTCCTGGCACGAGAACAAGAACTCTAAACCCTAAAGCCTAAGAACTCTGGTATTTCGGGCATTTGTTGTGTAGGGCGTTGGATCCGTGACAGGGAGTGGCGGCCGAGCGATGGTGAGACAGAGAGCTCAGAAGACATGAAAATGAGCTTACTACTAACAGCAAAATTTATACCAGTAAGAAGAATAGAAATACCAAAACAGTAGTAATAACAGCAAATATGAATAAGTATATTGATAATAATCTTGGTTGGTCCTGGGGATCGGGTCGACAGTTGGATTGGGGCATACAGGGACCACTTCAAGCTTCGTTGTTATAATTCGGTTTAGGGGTTTAGGGTTTAGGTTTTCTTTTTTTTAAAGTGGGTTTAGGGTTTAGGGGAGTTAGAACTTGTGTTTCTTGGAACAGAACGTGATCAAGACAAGCATGTGCCGAGACGTTCCAACCAAAGAACTACCACCCAAGAGAGCAAAATCGCTGACTTGAACCGTGCCCACGGGACGTCAAGCTACCCTCGACCTTACAGCAGTCACTGCTCAAAATTCCATCAAAAAACCTGCAAAAACTGTCTTTGCGGCACCTTAAAGATCTCAAGCCATCAGCCAGTCAAAACGCAAAGCTGCATAAGCTCCTAAGTGCATGACTCTACAACCACCAACCATCCAGAAGTTTCACAAAACTACCTCAGGTGCTGGGATGATTCTCACAAGCCCCCCAGCCACCCACCCCCACCCGCCCCCCCGAAAAATGATATCACCAATTGTCAGGACCCCTGACCCTAAACCTTAAACCCCTAAACCCTGAACCCCTAAATCCCTAAACCCCAAAACCCTAAATCCCTAAACCCCAAAACCCCTAAACCCTAAAACCCCTAAACCCCTAAAACCCCTAAACCCCTAAAAACCCCTAAACCCCTAAACCCTAAACCCCTAAATCCCTAAACCCCTAAACCCTAACCCGCAAGCCCTGCGGCTCGGGGGTTCAGGGCATTCGGATTTAGTGTCCAAGGCATACCTGCGCCCTAAGAAACCCACCTTCTTAGGGCTCTCTGATATCATTTCCTTATATAAGTCCTTAAAAAGGTAGGTCTTTTGGGGTCAAGGTAGGCCATAGGTGCTAAGGGTTTAGGGGTTTTGGGTTGCAAGACCAACATCTGCAACACAGCACGACTTACAGTTCCGAACTCAGACATCCCCCAGCTTTGCCTCCTTACCACCTAGTTGCTAAATCCCCTTATCCTAAGACCAAACCACAACTCACCACCCCCCCAAAAACAGAACAAACCCTCAACCGTGAATCTCAAAGCCCAAGGCCCTGAAACCTCTGAAATCAGCAGGCCCCCATAAACAGGTAGAACCTGTAGAAACCCCTAAACCCTAAACCCTAAACCCCTAAACCCTAAACCCTAAACCCTAAACCCTAAAAACAACAGTACGCCTCCCCGCACTGGCCTCGACCCCGAAGATCAGTTGCAAGATCCGCAGCGGCTTGCCAGGATCCATTCCTTAGCTTCTTGTGGAGTTTTTTTTTGTTTAGGGTTTAGGGTTTAGGGTTTAGGGTTTAGGGTGTAGGGTGGGTTGCTGGGTTAGATATTCTATGGCTAGTAAACTACTGTTTAAGCAACCGGCGCACTAGGGTTCTTGTACTGGTGAGGCCTCTGAGTTCCGGGGTATAGGTTTAGAGTTTTGTAGATCTTGGGGCTTCGTTGATTTAGGGCTTAGCGCTGCGATGAAGGTCACAGGGGCTCATGTTTGCAATGATTTAATTTAATGTGTCTATCGAAGGCCCATAAACTTTAAACGGTAAACCCCATAACCTAAGCTCCAAACCCTCTCATAGGGTGGGGTCAGGAGCGTTGACCAGGTCTACCAAGGCAATGCAGCATCATCGGGGCTGCGGACCTAGAACAGGTGCCTCTAACTTGAAAAAAAGCCAAACCCCTGTACCCTTAGCCCCCTAGACGATTTTGGGGCCTTCACAAGCAGAACAGAACAGGGTCTTTTTCTGTCGCAGTATACTAAGGACTGCCAGGGAACTCTGGTACATTACATAATTCGGATCTAGCGCTGCCCGGGCGCTGACAGCTGCCGATCAGAGAGTTGAAGGAAATCCGATCCACTTGCAGTGAGCCTGCCAAGGCTTAGGACAAGGCTTAGGGTTTAGGGTTTAGGGTTTTAGTATTTGGGAGTTTCCGAAAACAAGGGGCACCTTAGTTGAGGGGTCCTTATAATAAGGATCCGATTATTTAGGGTACTATTTATTAAGGGTCCCCTATTTTCGGAAACTACCATTTGTATACTGTGTTGTAATCTATTACAACATAGCGTATAGCACACTGTCAAATCAGTATAGACTACTACAGCAGCGTCTCCAATTTTTTGGGTCTAGGGTGGAGGGTTTGGGCTTACCTAAAGGCGCCAAAGTAGTTCCTTTTTGGGGTTCATATATAGAATCCTATACGGTAATCCCAAAAAGGAACTACTATGTGGCCTCTGGGTAAGGCTTTAGGTCCAGCATCTGAGTTTCGGATACGTCGGACCTGAGGTTAGGGTCTGGGGCTTTTTTTTGAGGGTTTAGGGTTTACCTGCGCCCTAAGAAACCCACCTTTTTAGGGCTCTCTAATATGATTTCTTTATATAAGTCCCGAAAAAGGGAGGTTATTTGGGGTTAAGGTAGGGTTTAGGGTCTAGGGTTTTAGGGCTCAGGGTTTAGGGGTTGGGGAAAAGTTGGGTCAGACTTACGGTCTTGGGCCTGGTCTTAGGAATCCCAGAAAATTCCGGAAAGTCCATAGTTCAGGAATACTCCTCGAAGTATCGCAGGGATCCTTCTTCATTCATAATCCCTGGCCTCTGAACTCAAGAGTCTAGGAGTGCCTCGTGGTGCCATGGCATGCCAAACGTTAGGTCAGGTCCGGGATGTTTTGTATCAAAAGGTTGGATGTTTAGGGGTTTGTGGTTTGGGTTTAGGCTTTCGCACCTTCTCAATTCAAGGAGAACTCTTACAGAACGCTTTGTACAAAAATCCGAAAAAAAAACTCAAGAACACCCCAAAAGCCCAGAAGCTAACCCATCCACACACTTGCCCAAAACAAATCCCAAATGCCCTTCAAACCCTAAACCCTAAACCCTAAACCCCAAATGCCCTAGACTCTAAACTGGCTTTGGCCAGTCCTTGGCCAGCCCAGCACAGCGCCCCGAGGCCCAAAGCCCACCGAGAGCAGGCCAAGGCCTCACAGCATAGGAGTTCAAAGCATTTTGGATTTTGGGTTCGGGGTTTAGGGTTTAGGGTTTAGGGCTTGCGGTCACGATTCTCAACACGCGGCATGCGAAATGTTAGATATCGAATCAGACCTTTTGCGCACCTCAATTGAAGGTGACCCTGCGGTTCTTCAACATGCGGAGTGTTGTATTTTAAACAAAACTTCTATACTACCTCCGTGGTCTTGGTGGTCCGGCCGCCCTCCACCTATTTAAACAACTTCACTGTAGGGTTGCGGGTTCAAAGCTCTGAAGAGCTGTGTCGGACCTTCTGGGATTTAACGTTGCTAGAAGGGTTATACTCTTTAGGTTGCTGTAATAGGGCTTGCTATAAACAAGGGTACTATGGCAGTGGTTGGGGTTTAGCGGCTTAGGGAGTAGTGTGGCTTTGAATTAAGGGTTAAGTTTAAGGGTCAGGGTCCGAGTGTGCATTCACAGCTACCCTGCGCACAGACGCCAAAACCACTGACATAACCTGCTGTTCATGATGATCAAGATCATGACGCTGAGGAGTGTGGTGGTGCTGGTGCTGGTGATAATGATGACGGTGGTAGTGATGATGATGCTGATCATGATGGCGATGATAGTGACGATTATGCTGATGTCGATTTTGATGTTGATGGTAATGGTGCGGGTGCTGAGGAGGATGATGCTGATGATGACGAGGAGGAGGATGTTGGTGATGATGATTACCCAAAGGCCCCAAAGTAGTTCCTTTTTGGGGTTCATATATAGAATCCTATAATGCAATCCCAAAAAAGAACTACGATGGGGCCTCTGGGTATTGATGATGGTGGTGATGATGATGACGACGACCGTCACCATGACGACCCCAGAGATGAGCCGAGTCTGTTGAGCACTGAGTACTGTTGATCCCTATAAGGGGGTACTATAAGGGTCCTAGGAGACATATATATATATATATATATATATGTATATGTATATATGTATATACGTATATATGTGTGTGTATATATATATATATATGTATATATATATATGGGGTTACTATAAGGGTCCTTGGACAGGGTTTCCATTCTAGTCTCGGCTCCCCATGTCATGAGCAATACAGTGTAGCAGCTCAAAAGCAGCAGTTTAAGCGACGCTAGCGTGGCCCTCTAAATATTGTCAGAGCTTTCTGCCACCCGAAGAGCCTGATCTTGACAAAACCACGAGAGACTTCCAGAAAGCAGGTTGCGTGGGCTGTAACGGCATCTCATTAAGCTCGGCCTGTGGGGCCTGTGGAGGAGGTGCATAGGCTCTACGTAGAGTCTACACTACAACCTTCAGACCTTCAGTTCGACTGAAATTGCGCAGGCGGCGGTGTTGAGCACAATCACGTTGACGTCCAAGGCCTGCCAGGGATCATGAACAGCTTCTATGTAGCAGTCAGAGCATGCTTTACGCAGTCTTCTGCGATTCTGTCGCTCGTGGCCCCCTGGTTGGGCAGACTCCACGATCGAGCTTATTTACTAAACGTTTGAATCCTGAACCATGAAGCCCCTAAACCTCAATTTCTAAACCCTGAAGCCAGAATCCCGAAGCCTTGAGCCCCTCCACCTGACTTTCCCGAAGGCTCCATGTACCCATATGTATACATACCTAGGCCTTAAAGAGGTTCCTATACAGGTACTTTGGGGGCCTAAGTGTATACTATATGCCTACCATGGAGCCTTAGGGTTACTGAACCCTCAGGGTCTTTTGCGGTTTACGTATCAGGGCCTGTCCAAGGCGGAGTGCCTGTAGCTCCATCTGCTTCTGGGCCCGCATGAATGAACCACCGAGAAGTTCCCAAAAGATCTCAAATCCAGATGGAGGTTTCCGAATCTAGGGGCCCCTAATTTAATACCCTACACAGGAGGATCCGGTACCCCAAATGTTCGGAAACTCCCAGATGCCTCCGTAAGCAGCCCTGTCGGAGTTCAGGAATAGAACAGCCTCAAGGGGTCCTGGAGCCTGGGTACCGAAACCTACACTCGGTGGAAGCCTGGACCGTAAATCATCCTGAGTCCACAAGTCTTGTAAGAACCACCCGCCTTCAAATCCTACAGCCCTAAACTCTAAATCCTAAAGCCCTACCTATAGTCTCCATTGCAGTTCTTTTTTTAACCAAATATATAATATTAGGATCCTATAAGGTAACCCCAAAAAGGAACTACAATGGAGACTCTAGGTAAACTCTAGATTCTCAGCCCTCAGTTCAAGTTTCCCGAGCCCGACGCCTCCTCGCGCAAGGCTGCACAGCCGAAGAGAGCCGACGCCCAGGATCCGACCGGGCGGCGGGCATCCAGCTGGAAGGGTGGCTTCCCAGAGACTCCAATATCCCTTATTTAAGGAGTATACTTTACATATCCTTAAATTGGAATAGGATCCCTACTATGATTTAAGGAATATATTCCTTAACTTAAGGGATATTGGAGTCTCTGGGTTCGTGGCTTGCAGACTAGCGCCGCAGGTTCTCAGGGTCTTGGGGGCCTAGGGTTCCAGTGGCTGGGAGCGGTACGGTTTAGGGTTTAGGGTTTGGGGTGCTTTTTCTTCGGGTCCTGGCTTGGGGCTTCTGTGTTATCAGTTCGAGGCTCTCCAGTCTTCTCGCTTCTTGCATACCCGAGGCTTGGCCTCGCCCCGAAAACATCGGAAGAACCTAAAACCAATGGCCCAAACCCCAGGTGGAAGACTCTTACGTTACATTGCGAGGCTCAGCAGCAGATGTGCTTTGTTGTCCGGAACATGCAGACTTACGACTGCGGCGACGACCACGACTGTTCCTGCTTCTGCTCCTGCTAGTGCCACTGCCATATGACGACGGCGAACCATACGCATCGGCAATGAACGCACCGCAAACCGGCGAGGTCTCACCACAAGCCAGAGAACCTGCACAGATCTCTGCCGCACGCTCGCCAGCACATTGACAGCAAGCCGCCAGGTCCTCGGCTGAAGAAGTCGTTGGAAAGACAGAGGCACTTGGGAGTTTCCGAAAACTAGGGGTACCTTATTTTATAATAAAAATACTACCATTTAGGGTACTATATTAAGGTCCCCTATTTTCGGAAACCCCCCGTGGAAGGCTGTTCAAAGCTGGGGCGTCGAGACCGGAATCGCCGGGGAGCCGAATGGTATTAACCAAGGACGTCTCCACGGACCAGTAAACAAACCCCATAACAGGATCCTTCCTCTCCCCACCCTCTGCGGCAAGCTTAGACTTCAGAGAGCCCCAAACCAATGTAAAAAATCTTTCAAGCAAGCCCCACCAAGTGGGTGGTAATTTTGGTTCCTTTTCGGGTCCCTAATATAATACGGCACCGAATATTTCGCGTACCCAAAAAGGGGCCCCAATTTTGACAACTACCCAGGTAGCCTAGCCTAGAAGACCGGGCTACACCTGCATAGACCCCAACCAGTGAAGCCCCGACATGCCCACGAACAGGAGCACCCCTCCCTAAACCCCAAACCCTAAAACCCCTAAACCCAAACCCCTAAACCCTAAAGCCCTAAACCTTGAAACCACTAAACCCAAACCCCTAAACCCCGAAGCCCTAAACCTTAAACCCCTACACCCTAAAGCCCTAAACCCCTACACCTCTCAAGACCATCTTATCAGTCCAAGGTGCACGCAACCAGGCAAATGGAACCCCGAAACCCAAACCCTAAGCCCACTGTCAGAAAGAAAATGACGAGTGTCAGGAAAAAAAGGAAGTCCAGAACTCTAACTTGCCCAAAGCCCCCTAAACCCTAAACCCACTGTCAGAAAGAATAAGGGGGTCCTGGACCCCAACATGACGAAGCTTACCTTTGGTTAGTAGCGAATGGAAGAATGGTAGTAATAGTAGTTATAGCTGTACCCCATTCCTCCATTCCCTACTAACCAACGGTAAGTAAGCCCAAGAAGGCATCCCGTCTGCTGCCCTAGTGGCTGTCCCTGCTCACAGGCCGTACTGGCCGCAGAGGCGAGGATGATGTTGCCTCCACTTTAAGGTGTTGGGAACTACGGGTACGGTGTAGAGTTCAGGGTTTAGGGTTTAGGAACGGCAATGGCAGTTGATCCATGTACTATAAGGTTGCGGTTTGTGGTTTAGTTGAAGGCGAAGATGAAGCGAAACCTTGAGGCTCTAAGACTGAGAGACCCCTCTGTCCCTCAAGCACTTCGTCAGGGTGGTGGGCTTACGATTCAAGGTTTCGGGTATATAGCTACTACTAGGGTTTCAGGTATATAACGACCGTCAACATGGCTGTTCATGCTGCTGGCACGAGTCGTATAAGCAGTTTGACGGTGCCTTACCAACTTCACGTCCATCTTTCATTGTCGACCGCGCACTTGTGCACCAACCCGACCATACATCCTTAGCCGTGACGCCCGACATGCTGAAATCCAGAATAGGGAGCCACAATGTAGTACCCTAAATAGTAGGACCCTTTCTATAAGGACCCGAAAATGAGGTACCCCTAATTTTCGGAAATCCGGATGCCTTCCACATCCGCGGAGGAAAGGTGCCCCAGAAGGAGCAGCGCTGACTCCCAGTGCAAGCGCAGGGCCTCAAGGCGGGGGCGGGTGCTTCAATTCGGGGCCGGGAGCTTGATATTGGGGCCTTACTGATTGGAATAGGATTTCTTTTTATCAAGATAACTATTACTGTTACGATTACTAGTACTTTACTGCTATTACTATTACTGTTTTTGGGCGCGGAGGACGATGAAGTAGAGTTTTAGTTTAGCATACACATAGCAAGGAAGTTTTCACATCACGGGGCTGAAGAAGCCCTCGCCGGGTCGCTCCTGCCCCATCCGCAGTTCAAGCTCCAACTTTGGCTGACCCTTTGAAATACGGTAGGGGACCTTAATGATTGGAATAGGGTTTTTGGGCTCCATTCATAGTATGAGTATCATCAAGAACCCTGAGAGTAATGTTGTTCTATACTACCTTTTTTCGCTTTTGGGCTCCGGGTCCTAAGCTCTGAGGGCAATGAGTGTCGGAAAATCGTATGCTTTTGGGACAAGAAATCTCTCGAACCATCGTACAGTAGAAGCCAGAAACTTGGAACATCATTATCCTCATGCCCTTAAGGCAAAGTAAAGGGTATTCTAGCACTAATCATCCTAAATCAGTGTTCTAACTTTCTGGGGTTCACCATAACTAGCCTGAAGATGCTTCAATTCGCCTGGCCAGTTTGTTCAGGAGCTGATGGCTTCCCTGCAAAGCCGCACCTGAACCCTAAACCCGAAGCCCCAAACCTCCAATTCCTAAACTCACAACTAACCCCCCACCCTATCGTTTCCGAGGCTCGCCCATGGCGGCCCCATAGCTTCGCACGTTCCTCGGAGGGTTAAGGGTTTAGGATCTTGGGGCTTAGGGTTGGTAGGATCTTGCGGTTCAGGGTTCGGGAGCTTTGGATTTTCTCGCGAAGGATTGTACATGGGTGATTGTCAATATTAGGGTCCCTTTTTGGGTCCTTATTATAGTACGGCACCTGTCATTTAGGGTACCCAAAAAGGGACCCTAATTTTGGCAACTACCCACATCGGGCTTGAACTCCTTGGGAAACGGAGTGGAAACACTTCGGCAGGATTCTGGTGACACTGCGGCTTTCGGTTGCGAGTTCAGCAAGCGCAAATAACCCAAAACCGTAAACCCAAAAAGATGAAAGTTCCGACCTCCTGCAGCTGACGTGCAAGCTGCACACAACGGAAGCTGCGATTCCAGAAAACAGTGCATCTCGATAGGTTTAGGTTTAGGTGCTAGGGTTTAGGGCTGAGGGTTACGAAATGTTACGAATGTTGCTTTTAAGTGTTGGGTTCTGGAAAGTTCAGAACTAGGGGACCTAACATACCCTTCAGTGGTTGAATCGTTAATCGTTAACATCTGCATCCCCAAATTAGGTATCTCTGCCTTGATCTCAAGGATCCCCATATTGCCCTAAACGACCCGCCTCAAGCCACATGCCTCTAAACAGAGGTAAACCTGCAAGCCCGTAGCCAAGAGATTCCAAAACCCCTAAGTCAGCAGGGTTGTACGCTCAGGGTTTAGGGAGACTGATACAGTCAGAACAGGGTGTGGGATCTGACCGGAACATGGTTAAACGACACTGTGAAGCACCATCCACATCCAGTCTGGAGACCTCTCACAACCACAAAACTCCCCGGGAAAACCCATGCTGTCACATATGATAGGCGTGCTTCGGCTGGAGGCGGCTCTTCGGCAATCCATGGAAGAGCTCCAGTGCACGACTCCAGCGCTGTCGCCTGTTCCACTCACGTCGATCGAACAACTCGGGAGTTGTTAATGGCAGTGCGCATGATACCTGAGAAACAGCAGCAAAAGGCGTATAGCCAAAACAGCTATACAAAGTAGGATAGAATGCTAAGCTTACGAGGTAGTCACGGTGGTAAAGTGGTGCTGGTTCCTCAAATACGAACTGTGCTTGACGAGATGGAAAAACAAGATGCGATGGAACTCTGCTTCAAGAGGCTCTGTCCGTATTTGCGCAAAATGTCCTAAACCACGACACTCAAAGTCTTAAATCCCAATTCGGAAGATCCTTCTAAGAAGATTCTATCGCCTGCCGGCGGCCGAAATGGCAGCATTGCGTTCCTTGAGCACGTCGGCGGTGTCGCTTGCAGCAGCGGCACGCCTGACAGAAGTTGATTAGGGGCCTTAATAATTGGCATAGGGTTTTGGGCCCATTATCTTCGAATAAGGAACCCCCAAATTAGCATAGGTACTCATAAAGGCCCCTATGTCATTAATCAGCATTGTTATTGCTGCACGTAAATAATGACGAATACTAGCACTGACGTATCAACATTACTGTCATGATCATGAACTTGTGGTTCGTCACGATTAATTATGCGCACTCTGCTTGTCATGGGAGTCATCATGGGCATGACTACCATTATCTAGATCGCCTTCACCACGGCTACCAACCGCAGGATCCGGTCCAATCTGAGGATAGCACAAAAAGAAAGTAGCACTGGCTAGCGTGCATTGTAGATATCTGCATAGTATTGCGACACCAGGCGGGCATGCTCCCACGCGGGCATGCTCCTAGTATACCCCCTCTAAGCTCTGGAAAGACCCGACCGAAATTGCCTGGTCGTATCTGATAAACAAACGTCGCTGAACCCCAAAACCTGAACCCGAAACCAAAATCCTAAACTTTACCCAAGCCTATGGAGATTTCCGAAAATAGGGGACCCTAATCTAAAACCCTCAGTAGTAGGATCCGCATTATAAGGACCCCAGTATGAGGTACCCTCATTTTCAGAAACTACCTTATCACTCAAGCTCTAGATCCTCTGGCAAAACCGAGGCCCAACGGTGCCTTTCCATAGATGGTGCCGGTGCGCCCAGCCTGGCCCAAGCTACTCCGCGAGGTGTGGATGTCAAATCGGGGCCTTAAGCATTCGAATCGAATCCTTTGAAGGGTTCCTCTAAGGTGCTGCTTGTTTCGGTTTTTTATGTGTGGTTTGCCTATATGTATGCATGTATGCAGTATGCATGCATGTATATGCACACATATGAATATGTGCGTATACAGAGAAGCCTATGCCTGTGCAGTATCAGGTAGCTCAAACCAGACCCTGTCATACGTGCTCTGACAAGTTGCTGTTTACAACGCATCTCTCTCTCCCGCTCTTTCTGTGTTGCTATGCGTTGCTTATCTATTCCTGGTACGCAGGCGTCTGTGTCGTGACAACTTGAATTTAACCTCCAGCTCTCGATCCAGCTAGAAAGTATTGTCTCTGTATTGTTGTTGTAGACTCTTGTCGACTTTTTCCCCTCCCCTAGACTTCCATCCATCCATTCATTTGCCTATCCATTCTATAGTTGTTTACTCAGCTCCTCGCATATCCATGGGTCACCCCTTGGCCTCTTACAGTCTTACACTCCTGACTGCAACACTTCCTGAGCGATTTAGGCTTTGTGGCGTAGGTTCTTAGGGTTTGGGGCTTAGGTCCTGAGAAGCAGCCAGGCTTCTTCACAACGGGTCCCAGGCACTAAGGCAAGGATTCCGGGGTCTCGAACTCATCCCTGAAGAAGCTTTGAGACCAACAACCTCTAAAACGGATTTGGAGTCTAGGGGACTCCAAACCCTAAACCCGCGAAAGAACAAGCTAGAAAACCTGAACCACAAAACCTTTGCGAGCACTGAATCCCTGAAATCGCTGAAGACCTGCAAGACGCAAACCCCGGGGTGCCTCCATAACTCCTTCGGCCACAGCCGCCACGGCCCCTCACACCGAAGGCCTGAAACCCCTAAACTTTTTAACCCCTAAACCCTGGGCTCCTAAACGCGTCTGACAGAAGTTGGGGGGGTCAGAGAGCTCCTTACAGAGGCCAAGCTAGGGTTGAGGAGATTTAGGGGTTTTAGGGGTTTGGGTTTTAGGGTTTTAGGGTTTAGGGTCAGGGTATACAGTAGAAGCCAGAATCGTAACCCCTCTAAGGTAAATTATAGGGGATCCTACCATTAATCCATATTCCAACTTTCTGGAGTCCCCTTTAGGGTGTAGGTTTCGAATTTAGAGCTCAGGGTTCAGAGTCTGGGATCGAATTCTGTTCGCATATAGGTTAGCACTCATATGGGGGTTTCCGAAAATTAGGTCTACCTTATTTGGGGGTCCTTTTAGTAAGGATCCTACTATTTAGGGTACTATATTAGGGTCCCCTATTTTTGGAAACTCCCATATAAGTATCATAGGTGGGGCTACTTTGATCTACAGACAACATAGTCCCTGTTGTAGCTGACAACCGAATCACCAAGTCAGGATCAGGAGAGTTGTTGGGCTCTTGGGTTCCTGGGTTTAGTGACAAGGGGTTCAGAAGGTGAAAGGTTTGGGGGGCGCAAGACGAAGGGCTGAGGTTTAGGGCCTGCGGTTTAGATGTGACTAAATCATTTAGGAAAAACGAGTTTCAGTCCCTAGACCAGTAACATGTAATATACAAAAGCCCTAGTCTGATCATCATGGCCTCGGTATTGGTTACTTAGGGTTGGCGATCCGGTCTCCCAAAATCTCAAGTTGTGGGCACTTGTGCTGGCGTGCATGGGATCGAAACTCTCGACACGGAAACCACAGATACTTCCTGCTCAAGTAAGGAATCAGTTGCAGAACCTGCGGTGCAATCCCCAAATCCGTCTGTCATCGCACTCTTTCAGACCTAAATCACAGCAAAAGCCATAATCTCATAAGCTCCAAGCTCAAACCCCTACAGTAAACCCCATAAAGTTGGAAACTGGATTAAGGCCACATAGTGCTGAGATTCGCTATACGTTACTCTTAAGGATTGAGGCTCTGGGGTTTCCAACTTTTGGGCTTCTACTACTGTAAAGCATATCCACCCAAAGCCTCCCTGAAGCCCTAACTCCGAAACCACTATAGCCCCATTCAAGCCCCTCAAACACAACACCATGAGTTTAAAGATTCCTAAACCCCTTGAGTACAAGACCATGAGTTTAAGGATACCGAAACACTCTACGTATGACCATGAGTTCAAGGAGATCTAACCTGCAAAAGCAGACTTTGAGTTTAAGGACACCTGAAGCCCGAACCAGGACCCTCCTTGTACCCTCAAATAGGGGTATATGGTCCCAGATAAGGGGCATTTAGGGTCCAATAGAGGGTAGATGGAGGGTCTAGGAAATCACTGCAGCTTGGGGGCCTTGGCTGGAGGAGGCGGCGAAGCACAGATGCAGCAATTGCCGCAAGGGGGCATGGGATGAACTACATTCTAAGGCTTACTAACCTCAACCTTAGCCCGAGCCCTGAACCCTAAACCCTTAAGGCTTAGGGCAGGTCTACAGCCAGGCTTGCTCTTCTCTAAAAAATACTCAGTGATAAGCAAGCCTACGTGCTGTTTGGGGGTGTGGACTGAGCTATAGAGCAAGTAGAGTAGTGATTGCGGTTTACGATTCTGGGTCAGCTTAGAATAAGTCTTCCGGGACATACGGCCTGGCCACTTGTTGCTGAGCTTCGAGTTCTGCTTCGGATCACTCTACATAAACAAAGATTTATATATATATATACATACATACATACATAATTACATACATACATACATACATACATACATACATACATATGTGTATGTATGCGTATATATATATATAGAGAGAGAGAGATATGGACGGATAGATAGATATAGAGTGGGATAAATAGAGAAGCTGGTGCCTAACTTACAGCGAACAGAGCAGGGACACATGAGTTTGTCGTGTAATAAGTAGCTATTGCTTAAACGAGGAGTGAACATGCTCCTGGTGCAAGTCCTATAGCTTGTGGTAGGTCCTGGTAGGTGCAAACACTTGAGTGAGGCAAGGGCTTCGGGTGCGGTTCCCGTGGTGTAGTTTGGGGCAAAAATGAATGGGGCTTGTCAAGTGCGCTGAGGGTCGTCTGCAAATGACCACGTCTTCATATGTTGCAGCAAACTCTTCGATCGCGACCACATGTAAGGACCGCGGACGAGCAGTGAAACAGCACCATCATTTTCTGCAAAATCCATGGTGAGCCGTCGTGCTTTGCCTGGCTCAGGGTGGACGGAAGGAAGTTAAGAAACCTTCTGGGGCCAAAGAACTTGGAGCTTAAGTGCCTTAGTCCGAAACAAGTGAAACAGTGCGGAGGTGTAGGGCCTGAATTTGCTTCAACAATTGGAATTTCTTCTGCCGCAAAGACAGGGATGCCTTTTAGCTGCCCATCAATCTTGATGTTGAGTGAACCTTGAGCCCTTAGGAATCCTCATGCAACCCTTTCAGGAACAGTTAACTCTCACCTATAGGGTTGTGGATTTAGAGATTGAGCCCTCAACCCCAAAACAAGGTTGAGGGTTTAGGATTAAACCCTAAACCGTCTAGCCTTCAACCCTGCGACGGTCATTATCAACCGTAAAAGGTGATGAAAAAGCCTGTAAGACCCCAACCGCTGCCCTCCCCTAAACCCTAAACCCCAAATCCTAAACCCTAAACCCTAAATCCTAAACCCTGAACCCTAAACCCTAAACCCCAACCACACCCCTAAGGACCTTCGATTCCTCGCCGGGCTGCTTAGCTCAGATCCGGCAGTCTCCGCTCGTCCACTGCGAAATGCCGCCGGGGAACCGGCAGGTCCTGAGGCGGGCTGTATGTGGGATTAGGGTTTAGGGTTTAAGGTTTAGGGTTTAGGGTTTAGGGGTTTAGGGTTTAAGGTTTAGGGTTTAGGGTTTAGGGTTTAAGGTTTAGGGTCTAAGGTATGTGGGTAGCTGTCAAATGTACTTGAAGGCTCATGGGACTTAGTAAGTAAGGTTATAAGTAGGTTATAAGTAGGATAACCCCACTTAGATGTATTCAATGTATTGATTGGTTGATACAGAAAGAGCGAGAGAGAGAGAGAGAGAGAGAGAGAGAGAGAGAGAGAGAGCGAAAGGGTTTTCAATCGAAACCACCTACCGGGTCTACTTTCTACATCACTCCCGGGTCTGCGGCCTGGGTAGTTTCGCCACACCGATCCCCGCATCAAATGTTTGATTTTTGAGCCCTGCTCCCCCAAATCCCGCACTTTCAAAGCTCCCCAAACCCAAAGCCCCGCAATTCCCGAAAACCCTAAACCCGAAGCCCCCGAATTCCCTAAACCCTAAACCCCAAAGCCCCCGAATTCCCTAAACCCTAAACCCAAAGCCCCCGAATTCCCTGAACCCTAAACCCAAAGCCCCCCGATTCCCTAAACCCTGAACCAGAGAGCCGCCACCATTCCAAAGCCCTCCCCCTTGAAGGGCCCAGGGCTCCGTCACGCGCTCGCAGACGACATGGGCACCTGCCTGGTGGGTGGTTGTCAAACTTAGGGTCCCTTTTTGGATACCCTAAATATTAGGTGCCGTACTATAAACCTTGGCTGACTTCTGAACCCCTCCGAAAAGTTAAACTTTTAGCCTCCTTATTATAATTCATATAGAAGCCCAAAAAGTTAAAGTCTAAAGAGCCAACCAGAAGAACGCCAAGATAATAAGGACCCCCCAAAAAACCTTAATTGTTGACAACCACCCTGACTCAGGATGCTAGATTTCAGGGTTTGGGGCTTATCGGGTCTGCTTTTACGATTTCAGTGTGAAAATTAAGGCTGCTAGAGTTCAGGGTTTGGGGCTTATCGGGTTTAGGTTTAATGGGCTTGCTTTTTTTAATGTGTAGTGACTTTTCCGTCTGCCTGCAAGTCGGCTTACACACAAAGGACATTCACTGTTGTCAGTGTCTGTGGGGTTGCTTTAGGATGTAAGGTTGGGGTTTAAGTTCAGGAAGGGCCTGGGGTCTTTGGGGCTTCTGCTTTGCAGAAAAAGGCCTAGGGCTTTTTGTCGCTTTACAGTAGAAGCCAGAAAGTTGGAATATCATTATCGTAACCCCTTTAAGGTAAATTATAGGGGATCCTACCATTAATCCATATTCCAACTTTCTGGAGTTCCCTTTAGAGTTTGGGGGCTCTCCCTTGTTTAGGGTAGAAACTTGCCCGGCTTGCCCCTACAAGTTCCTGTTTTGCTACGCAAAGCCAACTTCCGTGGTTAGGACTCGCTGGTAAAGAAACACGGTCACAAATGAAGCTAAACTGCAGAGCCTGGGCAAAACGGTAAAAAGCATGTGCAAAACATGAGGTACTGGATAGGCAACACCCCTTGTCAAACCAGAAAAAGCGAGGACCCATGCAAACTTGGAAGAAAACGCGCGGAGCCTTCATCAGGTCGTCGAAACCATCGGCGCCACTCAGCACGCCGACCACGAGGCCACAACCGGCGTTGCCTGTGAATTGTCGGGCCATTGGGGGCTTCAGCCGCATTTCGCTACGACGGTCGTGGAGGGAATCTGGAAGGGTTCCGAGTATGGTTTCGGGTTTTCGGTTTGGGGCAGGCCGCAGAGAGTAATACGCCGAGGCTGCAAAGTCTTAGGTTCTGTTGGGCTTTTTGTTTCAGGCTACTCGGTTTGCGGCTTTAATAGCTACGACTTTTCAGGTCGTGAGCTTTTGGGTTCGGGCTTAGGGCTTCCGGTGTCTGAGGCTGGGATAAACTGAGGACGACGCAGGCTGGCATGCGTCCATGTCGTGAGCCCAAAAGCCTAAACGCGAAGCCCCAAATCTTGACTTGAAGCACTGAGACCGTAACGTCGCACGTGGCAATCCCTGGCTTGAGGATTTCTGGCTCGTCAAGAGACAGGGGTCTAGGGCTTAATGCTCCCATCAGGATGATGATCACAAGCATGAAACACGATGATAGTGGTCAGAGCTATCACTAGAACACCTAAAACTCATCCGAGCTACCTACTGCCAAAACCGTGTGAAACCCACGAGCGCCAAGCCCCACACACAAGAAACGGCTTCAACAACAAACCTTCATAGGGACCCTTAGTAAGGGGGGGAAGGGGGGGAGGACTGCAGTATATTGTCCTTGTTATGGGCATTACGGCCCCCAACCCCCCTTCCCCCTACCGCCCTGCGGGTTCTTTGAGACCTAGCAGCCAAGTCGCGACCCTCCTCAATGTCGCGGACAGAGTCGCCCACTTTGCAGACCCGCTTCACATTCATCACCTCACCGACGGTTTAAGGCTTACAAAATTTAATGTAGGAACGTGCTTAAGAAACCTCGGGCCAAAAATGGGTTCCTTATATGAACGCTACTATTTTTGGGGTATAAGCCCAGGGTTTCTTAATCAGGTTCCTGCATTATTATAGTACCCTTATAGATCCCTTATAGTAACCCTTATAGACCCCTTTAAAGGAACCCTGATAGAACCCCCGGACCCCACTTAGTTCCTACATTAGTGGGTTCGGCGGAGCCATCTTCAAGCCTTCTCTGGCTTCAGGCCTCATGATCGAGCTCTGTAGGGCTCATCATTTAGGAATTTGGGGGGGTCCTATCGCTTTCCAAGGACATTGGCAAGATCCGACCCTTCCACGGTCACACCTACCGAGAAGTTTTGACGGATGCTCATTTAGGAATTTGGGCTTGAGATGCAAAGACTCTAAGACGGCTCCAGTCTCACCAGCTTTGAAGAAAAACGCAAGCAAAACAAAACGGACTAGGACAAATAATCGAATGAAACTGGCAGGCCTGCGTCCGCTCCATGAGATGGTGGATCATGTAGGGGTAGGGCCGGCCTTCAGTGACCTGCAATGCAGGGATTTCATCATTTTGCTTACAATGTTAAAAGTTTTCCGGGGTTTCGGAATTTAGGGTTAGGGGAATTAGTGAATTAGTGTTTGGAAAGGGGGGTTTGTTATATGCGAGGTTGTGCACTCGGGCGTGAAAAGTCCCCAGCCGCGCTCTCATGTTGCTTCGTAATTAACACACCAAGGCGCAGTAGGGTTTAGAGTTGTATCTGTGTTCCAGAATTAAGAAAGTCTCTCCACCTTTTCAAAACATGTTGTTCTATTCAATGCGGTATAACACGTTCTTACGCGAGGAGTGCAGAGAGAGTGATTACGATTCGGCTCAACGTGAGGCGCGTGCGGAACAGCCCGCGGCTCCTGTTGACGCACGGTGCAGATTCGTGGTCTGCTTGCTCGAGCACGCGAAGGGAAACGCTCGTACTCTGCAGAAAGACGACTTAAGAAAGCTTCCTGTTATGCTCCAAGGCACCTCCCTTTGACCTGCAACCCAGCGCTTACACAGGCCCCTTCTGGAACTCGCAGTCCTCTGTAGAACCGTGCAAAACATGATGGAACCATTATAATAGCCCTTAACAAACTTTAAAGCCTTCACTCTAAAGA